GTGCACACCCTAAGAAAAGGGTGGAGGCAGGGGAGAGAAAGACACGTCTGATGACACATTCCTAAAAGAATTCTGGGGCCGTTTGGAAAACAGTGTATTTGCTCTTGGAACTGGTAGAATCTGGGATATAAACAGACAGATAGCTTGCATATTTAGAAAATTAAAAGGAGAGCAGTGATAAGAAAGGTGCAGACCTGGGTTACCCAGGAGGGGGGACCTATCGCAGCTAGGCCGGCAGGGCCCGCTTTTCCACAGGGGTGAAGACTTGAGAGAAAGACTTGTCCTGCCTTTCCAGTTATTGATTGATTGATTGATTGACTGAGACAGATTCTCGCTCTATTGCCCAGGCTGGAGTGCAATGGTGCAATCTCAGCTCACTGCAGCCTCCACCTTCCAGGTTTAAGAGATTTTCCTGCCTCAGCCTCCCGAGTAGCTGGGATTACAGGCATGTACCACCACACCTGGCTAATTTTTATATTTTTGGTAGAGATGAGGTTTCACCATGTTGGCCAGGCTGGTCTCGAGCTCCTGACCTCAAGCAACTCTCCTGCCTCACCCTCCCACAAGTGCTGGGATTACAGGCGTGAGCCACCATGCCCTGCCCTTTCCCATTTCTCTGTAAGGAGTGAGGACTGAAATCTGGGCACAACTAGAAAGCAAACAGAAACTTTTAGAGGGGTAGGACATAGGTTATGCCCAAAGCCAAAATCTACTGGAGTTGGATGACTGCAAGGAACGTAGGAGTGAGAGCATCTTAAGACTGTGTGCTTGGCTGGAAAAAGCTGGCTTCCCCAGGCTCCCTGGGCTTGGGTAGAGGATGTGCCCTAAGAAGTCTGCACAGAGAAGCATTTCTGGCCTGTGAAAAATTCAGCCTGAGTCACAGCCCCAGGAAGGCTCCTGCTGTCTTTGGTGGCATAATGGGAGTAACAGCGGTGGGTGGTCAGAGCCTGCTATTTGGCACAAAACACTGAGTGATGAGTCACAGACTCCTAAGATGTTATCACCATAGAGAGGGATGAATTCCCAACTCCTTAACCAACACCCAGGTCTGGGCCCAGACCTCAGAGAAAGAGGCAGGTGGCAAGTGCTATTTATTGTCAGCCACCATAATATTAACTGCCTTGCAACACTGAAACTAATGGAGACATCAAAATGATAAGGTGATATTCACATGCCATCACAGAATAACAAAAGTTACTGCACTAACAATAAGCTGCCAGTTCCAAAAGGTGGCTGAGAGCGAACCATCCCGACGGGCCTCTGCCCTCTGCTGGACACAGTGACGGTGACTCGGACAAATGAGGAGGAAAAAGAAGTCTGAGGAATCAGAGAGAAATCTTGGCGACTTCCAGGACCCACAAACATCATGGGGAGGGCTTGACTTTTTCCTGACGTAAGAACTTACAGGATAGTCAATGACGTAGGGAAACAGCATCCCCAAACATGTATGGTACTTAATAATCTCTGAGAAAAAAATTGCCAGTGCCACTTAGAATAATGCAGCTCACACCCCTTTCCCGCAACCCTGTACAGACTCACCTTCCCTCGATGGATCACTCTGCCATTCACTGAGAAACATGAAGCATTTTCTAACAAAACTTATTTAGGGGACAGGTGCAGTGGCTCACGTCTGTGATCCTAACATTGTGGGAGACCAAGGTGGGAGGATCACTTGAGCCTCGGAGGTTGAGGCCACAGTAAGCCATGATCAGGCCATTGCACTCCAGCCTGGGCAACAGAGTGAGACCTCATCTCTAAGAATAAAAAAATGAAAACTAGGAAGCTGCCTGACCAAAGCAGGTTTAAAGTACTAGCTCATTCTATGAGAGGCCTGTCAGGGATGAGAGGCCTCAAGAGGACTGAGCAGGTCAAGTCTCTTACCTCCTGCTCCCTGGCTCACCCAAAGGGCACACATGGAGGAGAATGGGGTGGCCACACCTCCACACCTCCACACCTCTCACCTGTCTCACTGGCTCTTTCTCTGCCATCGGCAGGATTGCATTCAGATGAATTTCTTGCACACATGATACAGGTTGCTGCACCTTGAGCCTCCTTCCCTCATATTCTTTTTATCCATACTGCATGAAATTGTCTAAGTCTCTCTGTTTCTAATACTTACAGTATCTTAGGATCTGGTCCTCAGGCTTGTGATGTAATCTCTACTCTTAGCGTTGAAGCAGCTCTTCTGAAAGACTACATATGTATATACCAGGTAGTTCTAGTATTCCAGCATTTGGGAAACAGTTCTTAAATATCTTAAATCTCTGTCTGATTATTCAGTCTTTTTCCACATTGAAAAGTTGTAGATTTTCTTATCTATTTTTGTGCACAGGCTACCCCATTCTCTGATCAGTTTACAAGCTCTCTCTGACTCTGTTCTGGTTTTGAGTGAAAAATGAGATTCACACTAAAAAGTGAACACACCATTCTGTAGTCCAGGCAAGCCCTTTAAGGCACAGATATCCTCCTAAACACGAAAACATAAAGACCCTGAGCTCAGAAGAGAAACAGGCTTGCCTAAATACTGATCTTTAGAAAAGGGCATATACTGCCATCCAGACTGTTTTTTGTTTGTTTGTTTGTTTGTTTGTTTGTTTGTTTTTGAGATGGAGTTTCGCTCTTGTTGCCCAGGCTGGAGTACAATGGCACGAGCTCGGCTCACCGCAACCTCCGCCTCCTGGGTTCATGCAATTCTCCTGCCTCAGCCTCCTGAGTGGCTGGGATTACAGGCACGCACCACCATGCCCAGCTAATTTTTTGTATTTTTAGTAGAGACGGGGTTTCACCATGTTGACCAGGATGATCTCGATCTCTTGACCTCGTGATCCACCCACCTCGGCCTCCCAAAGTGCTGGGATTACAGGCTTGAGCCACCGCGCCCGGCCTCAGACTGTTTTACATAAGCCAAATCTCCAAAATACTCAAGCCTACCCTGCTAAGCATCAACACCTAGAAAGAATTTTGGCTACTTTTTAATTTATTTAAAAAAAAAACCCTCAAGTATGATAACTTCATGCCTTATTAAACTGAGTGCACCAAACACCACTAAGCACGTGATGACTGGGGTCCACTGGAGTGAAGGGCTGTGCTCACATGGTTCTAGGGCCCCACAGTGTCCTCTGGGACTTCTAAGAAGTACAGATTTGTTTATTATACCACCCAGGGCTACAGGCTGCTACTTAAAAAATGAACATCAATTCTGTGAGCTCTACCGTCTCTACTCATATGACCGTAAATATAATTGCTTCTGGAAGTAACTCCCTAGTCTTTCTCTGAGGATATCTTCAGTAACCTCCTGCTAGTATGCAGTCAGGACAAATCAGATGACCAAAGTCATCAGTAATCCTAAAAGGATACGTACTTCCAAGTCTCTAGACTCTGGCCTGACAGTAGCTCAACTCTGGGTGCACCAAAAGAATTTTATGTCAGTTTTATATTTAGCATCGAATGTGTTTGATTTTATTTCATTATTTTGATGTTTTTAGTTATGCTCAAAAGAAGTCAATAATGACACTTGCTAATAGAAAAGCTTTACGAACAAAGGAAACACCACTAATGACATCAGATGTAAGGTATACCACTGGGAAATAGAAACCGGGGGCTTTTTTACATGCATTGAATGAAATCGTGTCTACTTTCCTTCTAGTAAACTTAGAATATAGTCCACTGGCACATTGGTCTGTAGGATGAGAGATAAAGCTGTCCTAAACTAAAATCTTCATTGTGCGTATTTCTATTACATCTTATAATATGCTATTTCCCCAAATTTCTTTGATTTTGCAGAGAATTTCGATTTCTAATGTATCAATATAGGAAAATGTCAGTGCAAGCAATCTTAAATGAATTACAACTGCTTTTCTCAAAGAACTGGATTAGGTGCAAAACACACCACACTTACAGTCCCCACCAACACTCTTGGCTGCTTTGCGTTCCACCCTCTCCTTCCACTTGGAGCAGAGAGGACCGCTAAGTGTGTCTCAGTGATGCCCAGCGGGACTATGCTGGAAACCTCTAAGCTGTACCCACATTCTTCTCCGTCCAGTCTGTTCTCACGGCAGCCCAAATTGCTTTCCTTGATCAAACTGCTTTCCTGCTCTAAGACTTTTGCCAGCTGCCTGACAGTTATTGATTAGAGTCTACACTCTTCGCGGCCTGGTGATCCCAACCCCAGCAGTTCAGACCCCATACGCTTTGCCAACCCCCATCCTCCACCTTCTGCCTTCCTATCTTCCTATCCTCCAGCCACACCCACATACACACTGTCCCCGGAACACCAAGGCCCACGGCTGCCTCAAGACCTTTGTCTAAGTTGTTTCCTCTGCCCAGGATGTATTGTTCCCACACCTGCTAGTCTAAATCTTTGCAAATGTTCCTCTAATTCTACTCCCTCCAAGAAGTACTCTTGACTGTCCTCCCATTCTTCTCTGGGCACAGTCCCTGCCTCCTCATCCCACACCCATGTCTGGTTATCACGGTAACACTCAGCACAGCTGGCTTATTTAGGAGTGCGTGTTTCTCTCCCTGCCCAGACCTTGAGCCCCTGGACAGCACCAGTCAAGTCTTTCTCTTCGTTGTTGTTGCTGCTGTTGTGTTTTGGAACGCAGTCTCCCTCTGTCGCCCAGGCTGAAGTATAGTGGTGTGATCTTGGCTCACTGCAACCTCTGCCTCCCAGGTTCAAGGGATTCTCTTACCTCAGCTTCCCAAGTAGCTGGGATTACACATGCCACCACGCCAGGCTAATTTTTGTATTTTTAGTGGAGATAGGGTTTCACCATGTTGGCCAGAATGGTCTCGAACTCCTGGCCTCAAGTAATCCACCTGCCTCCGCATCCCAAAGTGCTAGGATTACAGGTGTAAGCCACTGCACTGGCCGTTCTTTGTTTCCCCACTAGGTTCAGCACGGAACCTAAGAAGACTGTGGATGTGAACTGAGGGAAGTGGGAGGAGACTGACCCCCGTGTACTAACCACAAGGTCAGGCCCCTGCCCACGCATACTTACGGTTTCCACAGTTGAGACCACCAAGGCCGAATGGGCAACTGTAAGCCAAGAAAGAAAATGGGTGAGAATTCGTTTCAAATCTTAAAAGAAATAACTGAGGCAATTCATCTAAATAACTTCTAAATAAGATTTGTAACAAAATTAAATGAGCATAGAGCCTACCTCATGCAGGTTTCATTTTCAAGCCTATATCCATCTTCACATGCTGAAAGAGAAAAGGAAAATGCATAAATGTGTCTGTTTACCGCTCCCAAACTCCCAGTTAATTAAACGCCAGCCACCCTGAAGTTCACAGGATTATTCTAGTACCAAAGGCTGCAAATTGCTTTGGAATGATCCTGACTTAAATACTGTTGCTAGCACAACTCCTTTTTTTTTTTTTTTTTTTTTGAGAGAAAATCTTGTTCTGTTGCCCAGGCTGGAGTACAGTGGTGCAATCTCAGACTACTGCAACCTCCAATTCCCGGGTTCAAGCGATTCTCCAGCCTCAGCCTCCCAAGTAGCTGGGATTACAGGCATGTGCCACTGTACCCTGCTAATTTTTGTATTTTTAGTAGAGACGGAGTTTCACTCTGTTGCTCAGGCTTGTCTCGAACTCCTGATGAGCTCAAAGTGATCTTCCCGCCTCAGCCTCCCAGTGTGCTGGGATTACAGGCATGTCACCATGCCTGGCCTCAAATCTTAACCTTATCAAGAAACTTTTCTTAACCTCTTTGTGGCTCTCAGATCTCCAGCTATAAAAATTATTTTATTGGAGGTGATTAAGTGAAATAAGGCATGCAAACAGCTTAGCACAGGTCTGGTACATAGTAACCGTAACCACTAAATCAATATTTTGTAGTTGTAATTATTTTTTGAGATGGCATCTTGCTCTGTCACCCAGGTTGGAGTACAGTTGGCACCATCTCAGCTCATTGCAACCTCCACCTCCTGGGTTCAAGCCATTCTCCTGCCTCAGCCTCCTGAGCAGCTAAGATTACAGGCGACCACCACTAAGCCCAGCTAATTTTTATATTTTTAGTAGAGATGGGGTTCATCATGTTAGCCAGGCTGGTCTCAGACTCCTAACCTCAGATGATCTGCCTGCCCCAGCCTCCCAAAGTGCTGGGGTTACAGACATGAGCCACCATACCTGGCCTGTAGTTGTAATTATTATACGACCAAAGCAATTCATTTAGAAGTTCTCTATAGATGAAGAATGTCCCCTGGGAACATGCTTCCATCACAAAGACAAATGGCTCACCTTCATTAATGTAAATCAAACCTTTAACCTGACACCGGCCCTGCTGACGCCCTTCCAAGAGAAGTGGGGAGCTGTGGGTGACATCTTCTGGGGCACAGTCCTGGTGTGTACCCAGGTTTTCATAACAGAATGCTCACCCTATAATCTGTGTAGGGGATTTTGGACATATCTAGATGTGTGCTAATCGCCACCTTGCCCAAAGAACAGAACTTTGAATCCTCGGGTCGTGGAGCTCATGGAACACCGCTTCACTGAAGCAGTTGTGGCCTGGCCATTTCCCTGGATCAGCAGTTCCTGAATTTATGTGATTACAGGACATTTTCAACATAACAATAAGATGACAGAACACCGTGAGCTATAATGCACATGCCTGCATGAAAGCAGACAATGAAAAACGGCCTCACAACAAATTCTCTGCTGCAAGGAATGATAAAAATGTGATTCAGGGTTAATGTATGAGATACACTGCATAAAAGATCACGAATAAGAAAAGGTGTAGGGTGTAAAGCTGCAATCCTTGATGGGGTAGTGGACATGCTAATGGTGGGTTGTGAGGGCCAGCAGCATGCATGTCCGGGGGTGAGGAGGGGCAGAAGGCTGGGGAGTGATGCCCTGGGGCTGGATAGCTTTCTCGTGCCAGATAACCTTCCTCATGACGATGTGTTAAATGTTCTTCCTCCTACTTTCTTCATGTTAGCAGCTGAGTATCCCAGGTGTCTGTTTTATCGTCACAGACCTTCTGTTGACATATCACTAGAGTGTTATGGAATACAGTTTCAAAAACGCTATTCTAAATCATCTGTAATGGGTCTAATAGCAGATATTAGAGAGCTGTGCACCTGGACTGCACTGTTTTGGCTCCACAGAATCACTTTTCCTGAGCTACAGTCTCCTGTACTAAGGGCTTTTTGTTCTAAGCACAGCCATGGGAAAGTCCCCATGGTATTTATTTGGGGATGTCATGCACGGCTTTGCCACAATACCATTCAGTAACCTCTTGATGAGGATGCCCTAGAGAAATTTCTCTTGGCTCCATTTTTTAAAAAGACAGGGATGCTCCTGGACAGCTGCTCTTTTTACAGATCTCGACTCTTTTCAAAGTCACGTTTCTCTCTTTGCCTCAGTGTCCGGGAAGCTCGGCACTTAAATGACGGGCCTTCTTTTAGCAAGCCCACCGGACCCTGCCGTGTCTCTTTCTGTGTATTTACTTTCCTTCTGGCCTCAACAAAACTATCTGTTTATTTCCCCTTCAACCTGATTTAGCTTTTACATATTTTTAAATCTTATTTCATCAAATGAATTTTCACTAGGTGCTTCAGATCCTTTTATGCCACAGGTAGAGCTTAATCGCATCCCATTTAGGGAAGAAGCAATGAGGCCCATCTCCCAATCTTTGAAACCTGAGTTCTCTGCTGGCCTCACTCAGGTGGGGCCTTCTCTAAGGAGCCAGCTGAGTGCTCCTGCATCTCCTCCGTCTGTGGCCGGTTGCCCTCCTCCTGTGTGTGCCTCTGCCTCGTGCTGCAGCAGGTCAGGGGAGTGGGAGAAGCTGCCCTGGATGATCTGTGGATAGCTAAGGCTGCAGGGCAGCCACCGGGGACTGCTTACTTCTCCAGGGACTCCTCCCCACCCATCTCGGCACTGAGGCAGGCTGATATCACGTCAGCCTGTTCTATTCTGAACACTTCTTCCTGGAAATGTTTTTACATCCAATCTCCCCACCCAACATTAGCCCTCATCTGCTGGGTGGAAGCGGTCCACTCAATGGCTGTCATCCAGCCAGATGTAAGGTCCATCTGCTATCCTGCCCATGAGCTGATGGGTTGGGCTGTTTTCATCTTGCTTCAGAAGTGACCTGGCTCCCTGATGTCATATTTCTCTTTTTCAAATGGGCTCATTCCATCATTCATCAATGGTTGAGTGCCACTGTGCCCATGGGCTGTTGTGGGGAAACCCTGTCAGTGAGGCACTCCCGTGCTCCTTAGGACACATCATCTCACTCATCTCACTTCTCATCTCACTCACCCTAGAGCAGCAGTCCCCATGTTTTTGGCACCAGAGACCGGTTTCATGGAAGACAATTTTTCCATGAACCAGCAAGAGGGCAGTCTGGGGGAAGATGGTCTCAGAATGAAGTATTCCGGAATGATGCATTGGGCATTAGATTCTCATAAGGATCACGTAACCTAGATCCCTCGCACGTGCAGTTCACATGGGTCCGCACTCCTATGAGAATCTAATGCCAGTGCTGATGTGACAGGAGGAGGAGCTCAGCTTTATAGCCTGGTTCCTAACTGCACCTGCTCATGTGCAGCCTGGTTCCTAGCAGACCACGAACCGGTACGGTTGGGGACCCCTGCCTCAGAGGGAATCTGACCACAGAGAACTGACGATGGAATAATGTGGCAACACCTAGTATATATTCCCAAACTGGGCTTCCCCTATTGCCATAAAAACTTTAAAAATAGAAATAAGTAGATGGTGGCCTTTTTTTTTTTTTTTTGACACAGAGTCACTCTTTGTTGCCCAGACTAGAGTGCAATGGTGTGATCTCGGCTCACTGCAACCTCTGCCTCCCGGGTTCAAGTGATTATTCTGCCTCAGCCTCCCGAGTAGCTGGAATTACAGGCACCTGGCTAATTTTTGTATTTTTAGTAGAGATTGGCCAGGCTGGTCTCGAATTCCTGACCTCATGATCTGCCTGCCTCGGCCTCCCATGGTGCTGGGATTACAGATGTGATCCACTGTGCCCCACCAATGGTGGCATCTTAAAAACTCTTTTGTTCCCTTGCAGGAAATTATGTCTAGACATGCCAAACCTTTCCTGTCTTATTTGCTGTCTCGTCATTCATCCATTCATTCATTCAACAGATACTTGCTGAACCCTGCACTGTTCAGGACATGGTTCTGGCTCTCAAGGCACCGCAGTCTGATTAAAGAAAGAGACATGCAAACAGGTTGTGAGAACTTACTGCCAGGTGTGATGGCTCACGCCTGTAATCCTAGCACTTTGGGAGACTGAGGTGGGGGGATTGCTTGAGTCTAGGAGTTTGAGACTGCCTCAGCAACTTGGCAAAAGCCCATCTCTACAAAGAATACAAAAATTAGCTGCACATGGTGGCAAGGGCCTGTAGTCCCAGCTACTTGGGAGGCTGAGATGGGAGGATTGCTTGAGCCCAGGAGGTCAAGGCTGCAAGGAGATCTGATTGTACCACTGCATTCCAGCCTGAATGACAGAGCAAGACCTTGTCTCTAACAAGAAAAAAATAAAAAGAATTCATCATGATGCCTGCATGATGGAAGGAAGCTAAGAAACCTATGAGACAGACATTTACTTTGATTTTATATTTAGCTTTGAAAGTCTGGTAAAGACATTTTCTGTGAGACACCAAGCATATTGTGTGTGTGTGTGTGTGTGTGTGTGTGTGTGTGTGTGTGTGTGTGTACGTGTGCACGTGTGTGCACACAGCAGAGAACACAGAGACTTACTAATGTATATAGCTTGAATTGCAGTGATTTAGAAAACACACTTCTCTATCCTCTGTTATACACAGGACTGAGCCTTGATTTGAGGTGTCAGTGCTCCAGCACTGGTGGCCAGAAGATGTCACTGCTAACCCATCAGAACCCAGCCTGCAAGGCTGTGGCCCAAGAAGCTCCGGAATCCACTCATCAAAGGCCCGATGTCTGCAAATACTGCAGAGAAAGGGCTTCACAGGGTCTCAGCAACAAGCCCAAAAGCGAATCAAGGTTTCCTTTGGCTGCTTCTTGGGTCCTGACTTGGTAAACATAAGGTTGCTGGTGCCTGTGTCACCACACTTGGTAAATCTTTGACAGCTATTGTTAATGCTAGCCTGTAAGTCATCTATGAAATTGCTGACTTGGAAACAGAGGAAGTGGTGCAGGCCAGCCAGAAGCAAAGGTGACAGGGCCACTGTTGAGACACTGTTCACAGGGAACACAACAGCACCATGTTGCTGCTTCTGCCCACCTTGCGTCAGCTCCTCCCAGGAGCACAGCGCCCTAACACACAGATATTAGCCCAGTTTACTTCCCCCATGAAGATGGGCTCACTCCTCATTTCTAAGAGGCACAAGGAGCAGTTTGCATGAAAGCAGATAAGATGGCATGAGGAAGCATCATCTCTTCGTAGCAATGACGGCAGTCTGGCATAGCACTGAGACATGCTGTGTGCCGGTCACACATCAGGACTTAGGCCCAACACAGAGAGTTGGCCTTCCCGTTCAAAACCCATCACAGGTCCCACCTGGAGAGCTGATGATATGCACTTGAACTTTGTATCCAAACCTAACCAAGTCTGAAGGTCTGAAGCTCAGGATAAGAGTGCTGCCCTGAAATATATTTTTATCTGTGATGAACAAGTCCTCTAACGGGAAGACCTGATAGAGAAAAGTGGCATGTCATCTCGCCCCAGTATGTGATTTTTATTCAGATTCCAGTAACATCCATTGACATCTGTTACCAGCAAGGTGCTGACTGAGTAGGAAAACTGGTCATCCACGACAGCCTTTAATTGTTAGTTTTTCTGGTGATTACGAGTTGCAGCAGCCTTTTATAAGTTACAGTGCGTGGTGCTCTGGACCGGAATTAATTTTATTTTAAAGCAGTATTCTTGGACTATGTTCTTCGAGCAGTCTTTCCCTCAAACTATATAAATTTAAGCTTCACCTAAAAGGTTAGTAGAATTAGATTTCTGCTCTCAAACACTTCATGAGACCTTTAAAACCAGAACTTGTTAATTCAACAACAGCCTGGGCCAAATAGCAGAGCAGATGCTCACGGCTTATAAAGGGCCTCTCTATCGACTGCCTTCCTTAACTTTTAGATTCTACAAGAGAGGGTCATCATACTCATTTCTCAGAAGAGGAAACTGAGGCTCAGAGAAACAAGGCAACTTGCCCAAGATGATACATGATCAGCGAGGCAGAGTTAGGCTCTGACTCTGGCCTCAGCTGTCCCTGAAAGATACTGGCTTGACTCCATGCTTGTACTTCCACTTTAAAAGATTAGCAGACAATGGATAAAGCTTTGGGAATTAAAACAATAATTTTTCTAACTTCCTTTAAGTGGAAAAAAAAAAAAAAAAAAGAAAAAGAAAAGGCACTGCCACTACAGGCATTCCATTCTCTCTTCCTTTGAATTTAATTGGCCAGACCAGCATGCACCAGTCAAAGATAATGCTATCATTCCAAGGAGATAATGTATTCAATCCTGCCATGAGCAAAATAACAAGAACCAGTTACCCCCAGTTTAGAATGGTCACGCCTAAGCAGAGAGAGAGAGAGAGAGAGAGAGAGAGAGAGAGAGTGAGCGAGCGCCGGGCAAAGTCTCAGGACGGGTCACAGAACCACGGGCGAACCTGTGGCTACCTCGGCAGGAGTGGTCCATCTTGTTGAACTGAAAGTAGCCCGACTTGCATTGGCACAGGGCGATGCCGTCCAGGTCAGTGCAGACGGAGGTGTCTTTGTCACATTCGGGACTCTTCCGCTTGCACAAGCTGCCCGCTGCAGTGGAAAAACAAGATGGTGAAACAAACCAAAACCTCCTCCACTTCAAACCTTCAAACCTCCTCCACTTCAGTGCTCATGCATCTGCATGAAGCTTCTGTTTAAAGAGGCTGAGAACAGTTTTCCAAACAGTCTCATGGAGCAACTCTCCTCTCCGGAGTCCATCTGCACTGCCTTCTGCCACTCCTTCTCTGGTCAGCCCCAGGCTGTGCACGAGTTATTTCCCCATTGAAAACACCCTCAAAGTGTGCCGCAGACCGACAGAGAAACCAAACTGGAATAAACAGGGCCCTGTTCCCTCCTCCGGTGGCCACTGCAAATACATTCCTTAATGGCTCTATGTCTTCCAAAGGACTGCAGGGGTAGGATCAGCACAACCAGAAAATATGGCCAAGTTCTTACGAAGCCAAGACTTGGACTAAGAACAGGAGCACAGGCCAGACTTATCTCAGGTGGAAATGCATCTCACCTCTGTGTGTCTACGTGGCCTAAAAAGGGACCTAGCACCACTCCTTGTGGCAGCGTGGCTTGCTGTCCTGATAGTGTGCTGCCTACAAGAGACTGGTGATGAGGAGGAGTCTGAAAGGTATCTACTTGCCCTGGGCTGTAGTGTAATTCTGTTTATTGGGCAGTCTCCTCAACTCCACTGATGGGTTTTTGAGGCTTCTTCATCTCTGGGTCTTCAGTCCCTTGCACAAGGACTGGTTGGTACACATGGCAGCCTGTCACTCACCAGGCCACCACCAAGAGAAACAGAGGCAGGCAGAGGAGAAGCCTACCTTTCAGGCTTGCTACCTTGTTCACTTTAGGGCCTCATTCATCTCATGGATGACAAAGAATCATTTCATTATTATCAGAAAGCATTTCTTCTGGGGCATGTGGCCCTCTTTGAAGTTGTGTACATCAGACACAATGAGGGTGCATAGGTCTAACGTGTATATGGGGTACACAGGGAGTAGAAGAAAAATAGGAAACCAACTAGATAGTGGATAGTACCTTATCTACACCCATGTGCAGGGAAAGGCAAGCTAGATATTCGCCGTTATGTGGGGCAAGCTCAAGTTTAGAACAGGAAGAGGCAAGGGGAAGGGCCATGTACCTATCATGCAGGGAGGAATGGCTGCCAATTTTCCAGGCACGGTCTCCCATTTCCCACCTTAAGGAGGATGCCAGACTATTCAGAAGCCAGGTATGCCCTCTTAATGCTACAAAACTGTCCCTGCCCAGGCAGGTTTTAGTGACGTGAGTTGCCACCCCCCATGGGGTTCCTGACACCTGCCCTTTTGTGAGTCCTGAGAACTCAGGGCCAGTGGAGAGCCTGGTCACTCGAGGTAAGCTTAGGACACAATTTCAGTTCTCAGAGCTGAATTTCCTGCCTTTATCAGTGGAAGCTGGCGTGCTCAATCAGAACCACATTTGTGTGTGTGATAGAATTTCCTTTGTTTATTGTAAAAAGTTTGTATTTAAGGGAGAAAAATTAAAAATGGAAAATCTCACCAGGCAAACACTGCAAAGCTGGCACCAGGGAGGTAATCAACTTCCACAATCCCTCATCTCAACTCTTTGAAGGCTTTGCCAGTCCTCAAGCCTGAAACTCCTCCAGGGAAGAAACCTGTCGAGGCTGACACTAGCCTTGTCCAGCAGCCAGCCAGAGTCGCCTGGCCTGATTAGATATTTTCTGGAAGCCAATGTCTCGTTTTCCTTCCACCCTGCCCATTAATCGAGCCTGTTGGCAAATCACTCTGCTGGAGCAACTGTGCCCTGCACAGAAGCAGATCCATGCAAAAGCGTGGGACACAGGCCCTGCCTCTGCAGTGGAGGAGTCGCGACCCTACAAATTCTCAGAGAGTGTTCTACCATAAATCCACCCAATAGGACCACATAGAATCCCACTTTCACGTAAAACCCGGTGGTGTGATTTTGCTACATTCACAATTCCCATGGTCCTTCCTGGGCATAACATCCGCCAAAACAGACAATGAGACTCTAAGTAAATCTAAAGCTCAGACGTTCCATGGGGGATTTCCAAAGACTAAACCTCTGGAGACAACAAGAGCTGCAGTTCTTTGAAAGGCAAGGAAGTGGATGTTTTGTGAAGACAGAAAACCCTCCCTTCCAATGGCAGTGTCCGGGGTAGCCCAGCACTGCCCTTATGCTGGCAACACCCAGATATCAGAAGCCATCAAGGCCACCTCACTAGCACTCAGGAAGGTTAGCATGAGACCAGGTTGGTCTTGGCAAATCCTGGAGAAGACCTGGGAGGAAAAACAGGGAAGCAAGCCTGTTTTTCCCAGCCGATATGCATAGCTGTCTTTGTTCTCATGGGCTCTGAAAGGAGACGTAAATGGGAACTTCAGCAAGGCAGCAAGGGTGACAGGTGCTACCCCATAAACCATATACAGGCAGTCAGAAGAATGGGAGTCAAAGAGTGGGCAGGGCTGCCCTGAGCAGGCTCTTTCAAATCCAAATAACTGGCACTTGATTTGCAAGGCATGAAGGCATTTACGGAGGACAAAAAGTAACTTGGTACAACGGTGACGACACAGAATGCACCCCATAAATAGTTAGTGAACCGAAAGGTACCTTTCCTACCTCACTGGGGAGGGCAACTTGCTACTCTGGAATCCTTGGAAAGAGAAACAAAAAGGTAAAACCACAGAGTCTCAAAGTTTTGAGCACGATATAATGGGGCATGACCTTTCTACTTCACTCCCCATCAGTAGTAACTTCAACTTCAGAAAGTTTAGATTTTTTTTTTTCAAATTAATAACTAGCCTTAAATGGGCCGAGCTCCAGCTCTTATCCCAGAACAAAGAGTTAACAGTCTGGCTCCCAAGCTCTGGAATATATAGGCTCACTCCAGAAGCCCGCTTGACTGGCCGTTACAAAACCCAGGCCCACTGGGAATGTCAATGTCATGGATCTACCGGCAGACTGTGTCACCACCTGATACCTTCACTATGTCCAGCATCTGGATGCCAGATGGGAGGTTTAGACTAGATTCTTCATCCTCTGCCAGACCTACTTGTGTAGTAAAATGAGCTAACTTTGATCAAGTAGCATGAGGCAATAGGGACAAGCGCCCTTTGCAAAGAACCACTTTGGATTCCAGTGAGTTTTCCTGTCCCAGAGGTGAAACTTCCCCTCTAAGACCCAAACTTCCCTTTTGACCTTGTCTCCAATCCCTTTCTTCATTTGCCTCATGCCAGATGCACTATAGCAGCTTTTGACAAAACAGACAAAGCAAGAATGAGTAAAGGAAAATCACCGTTTATGGCATCCCTGTGGGCATTCTGGCCTACATTCTTCTGGTCTTGCTGCTGTGTATTTATAATGTGCAAACAAACAAACACAAAAGATGGGTAATGCTGCACATGCTTATTTACTTAACCTAATACTGTATCATAAGGAAGGTTTTGGTGGTGTTTGTTTATTTTGTTTTTTGAGGCAGGATCTCACTCTGTGGCCCAGGCTGAGTGTAGTGGTGTAATCATAGCTCACTGCAGCCTCGAACTCCCGGGCTTAAGGGCACCTCAGCCTCCCAAAGTACTGGGATTACAGGTGTGAGCTGCCAGATGAAGGTTTTCTGGGTCATTGACAAGTATGTACATTCTGTTTCCCTAAAGAGAACACGAACTTTTCAAGGGAAAAAAGAGTGATTTCTGCTTTGTTACATCACATCAGCTCCTATATCCCTCCCCCTCCCACATCAACACTGGATAAAAGAAATAGAAGGAGCTACACACCAAGGATCAGGTGTCTTCAAGGCTGTGTGTACAGGACCCTGGGTGTGTGTGTGCATGTGTTTGTATGTGCATGCACAATACAAGAAGATACAGGCACACAAAGGTCTTTTGCTTAACACCCATGTCAAAAATAGGCTCTCTGAGGGCCTTTCCTGGGCCTGAGCCCTGGATGCCTTGCATTTCCATCTTAGGTCTGTGCCTAACTATACAGGTAGAATCCTCCGGGAGGGCCATCCTCTTACCTCTAAAGATCCGCCTCTGAGATCCCAAGAACTGGCAGACCTCAGCAGAGGACTTGCAGGAGTTCACACATTTCTGCATCCTATCAGCCAGGTCAAACAACGTCACATTGGAGGCCAGGGAAAAGGTTGTCTGCAGTGAGATCACCACCGCATTGGACTCCCTATAGGCAAAGTTTGTGGGTTTTTAATAGCCCCGAAATGACACGTGGCTCCCAAGACTTTTAGAAGTGAGTGTCATCGCCATTCTCCAGGGACGGAATGGGAGAGCGTGAAGGTCAGTGACCTCAGCCCTGGATTACCCCATGGCTGGGTTAAAACAGGGCCTGGTTTTGTTGCTGTCATCCCCTGTTAGAGCAGCCCCGCCCTCCGCTTCTACAGACTGGCTGATAAGCAAATGTAATTCTGTTACTTACCTAGAGGCGTGAACTGCAGATCGGATGTAACTAGGTAACGTTGAAAAACACATATTTAACTGAAAGGAAGAACAAGTCTGTTGTTAACTGCGAATTAGACAAAAGCCTTGGACCTAGAATCAGTTTCCTATTATCGGGATAAAACAGGCATTTTCCAGCCATCAAGTTATCAGCAGGCGGCTTTGCACAGAAGTAGTGTCCTTTCTTTGTTCCCCTCTTAAATGCCTTCTGTTGTTGCATGAGTACAAAGAGAAAGAGGCAGAGAGTAAATCAGTGGGGAAAATCTTGGCAGGAAATGATGTTCAGAACAGCACCCTTGGATGCAAAACATCTTCAAAGGAGCAGCTCTCTTCTAAGGCCCAGGGTTTCAAACAACTCAGAGGCAACTGTTTATTTGGACTTTGCATAGTGAACGAGCTGCACTGGAAGGCTCCTTTCAGCTACCCTAGGTCTGACAGGCCCTACATAGACGCCTCATCATCTACAATGAGTTGACCTAACTCAAAGACAGGTCTTCTTCAAAAAGGCTCTCCATGAGAAATTACATTACGTGGGTCAAGAGCCCTTTTGTGGAGAGCAAATTAAGAGCTACTCTCCCTATGTTTGCCTTGTGCCCTCGGAGACAGAAGAAAATCCCTCTAATAGCATGAAATATCAGGTCTGCTTCCCTGCCGCCCTGCACGGTAGGAGCTAGAGACTCCCTTCCGGGAGTGGAGGGACTCAGTACTGGGTCCAGTGTAGACCCACCTGTCTTCAAGGCCTGTGTCTCAGATACATGCCACTCTGCAGAAGATGGAGGCAAACGTGGAACATTATCAAACCCTTTTTAGCCTCTTATGGCATCACTTTATAGTCTACTAGCAATGATTTATTATTGTTGTTTTATTATTAACATGTTTTTCTTCCAGGTTTGGTAAACAGAACATCTTGGGAAAGACCATAAACATCTTGGAAAAGACCATAAACCTCTGGGGAAAGACCATTCAAGTGGCTTCCCCAGCCAATGATTGATTAATCTTCACTCTTTCTTGGGGACAGTTGTGTCACATCACCAGTAAATTACATGTTGATACTGGGCAAAAAAATAACAAGTCAGATAAGTCACTGAGTGCCATGTAATGTGAAAGGACTGCACTTCTGCACAGGGGTCTAAACCCCGGTATTATCTTAGCAGGAGATATCCATCCACAGCATGACCAAGGGGCAGCAGTGGTGAAGGGACAAGGTACAGGATTAGTAGACATAAAATTCTGCTGTGTTATAAAGAATTTAACCTCAGCCAAAAGGAAGTCGGGTCTTTGCTCCCAAAAATTCTGCTGTGCTATAAAGAATTTAACCTCAGCCAAAAGGAAGTCGGGTCTTTGCTCTCAGCTCCTGGGAGGCCATCTCTAAGCCCTTGGAATCTGCTAATAAAAATGTCTTTGTTTACCTGGGGGTGCTGGGCCATGCCAGAGAGTCCAACAACGTGATTTATGGTGGAGTTGGGTAACATGGTATCAGCTCCACGTCTACAGGGGCTAGAGATTGAGGTCAGCCACATGACAAGGCCCCACAAGGTTCTGGAGAGCTTCCATGGTTGGCAGTACTCCCTGCATATGGGACACACTGTTGCCGGGAGGAGGCATGACTCCTCAGGGGGAGGACGGCTGGAAGCTCTGCGTTTGGAACTCTCCCGGACCCTGCCCCATGCATCTCTTTCCTTGGCTGATTTTAACCTGTTGACTTTCACTGCAATAAAGTGTAGCTGTGAATATAATAGCTTTTGGTGAGCTCTGTGACTCCTCTAGTGAATTATTGAAACTGAGGGTGATCTTGGGGGATGCCTCAACTTGAAACTGGTATCAGTAGTGAGGGTGGCTTACTGGACTGTTCCCCAACTTTGCACCTGTTCTGTGCAGACTCAAGGCAATATCATTCACTTCCAGACCACCGGGGTTTCTATCTGCAGACATGCTGGCAATGCCTTTTATAGGAGTGTACCATCCGGCATCATCACTATCATGAAGTGAATGCTCAGGAGTCAGAGAAATAGAATTGGATCCATATTTTACACAAATAAAATCCAAAGTCCTATAGAAATATATAATTCCTGGCTAATATACTAACTCTTACAAAGAACAAGTAAAATTGAGATTGGAAATCAATTCATCTTTAAAGATTTTTAATGGCAAATTTCAATTTTCTGAACCTCGGGTTTGAGAACTCACTGCATAGATGAGTCAAATCTCTGACTTAGACAGCAGGTGAGAAGCAAAGTTTATTATCTGAGCTTCATTTTCCTCTCTTCTTTATTCCTCTCCATTTTCCTTTTTTGTTATTTCTGTTTTTGGGGGTTTCTTTTTTGAGACAGGGTCTCATTCTGCCACCCAGGCTGGTGTGCAGTGGTTGATCACAGCTCACCACAGCCTCAACCTCCAGGGCTCACGTGATCCTCCCACCTCATCCTCCTGAGTAGCTGGGACCACAGGTGCACGCCACCAACCCCAGCTAATTTTTGTATTTTTGTAGAGATGGGGTCTTACCATGTTGCCCAGGATAGCCTTTTTCTTTAAAAAAAAAAATTCTGATAAAAAGCCGGCAAATGACCCCTCAATCATGTATACAGTGAGTTCTCAAACCCTAAGACATCAGGATTAACTGTTGGCATCTTTGGCATTCCTTTGAGGAAAAAGAATATCATTCCCCTGAGCTCCAAAACACAAGGAGAAAGTCATACAGTATGTCAACAGCAGCTGGGACCATATGATTTTTCCGGGTCTTTCCTCCTCACCAACAGCTCCTACTGGTGTCTGTCATCTGTAGGTCTGTGACTATGAGATTGCACATGGAAAAGAAACACCAAGGTGCAGATAAAGACTGTGCATGAGGACACATTTGAAGTAATTCTTCTACTGGGCACCCACACCTCGCTTCTATTTCTGAAAGGCTTTTTATTTTACTATGGAGTTTCCTTTCCAAATATAACAAAAGTGAAGAGCCCAGGAGACACAGCTGACCCCTAGCAGTCCCCACTTGGAATGAAATCTGTTCTAGAAAACAAAAGACCAGTAGAAAGATGCCATTCAGGACACTTACCATTTTGGTGATCTCATTTTCAACTTCTTGTAGATCTGACTGTTTTTCCACAGTAGTGTTAAGAAAAGTTCTCTTTAATTTAAACTCTGTCATGAAGGTTCTTACTGAAAATGAAAATGTAACTTGTTAGATCATGCAACAGAAGAATCTATGTCAGGTTGTGTGTTTGCAAACCTCGGGGGTGTCCGGCTTTCTCCGCCTCATGGGACAATCTCTCTGCATTTCTTTCTCCTTGTGGGTGGAGACCCCTCTCCCTCTTCTAGATTTTTCTCTAGCAAAGTGAGCATCTACTGGGCTGTGTTGAAGGCTTAGACTGAGCAAACTTTTGAGACAGAGAAACTCCAAAGAACCTTTTGTGTATGTGCAAGGCTAAGAGAAGGAGCCTTCACGATGTCTCTGGGATGGCCTCCCACATAATAGATGCCCAAGAAAGCTGCTACAAAGAAGAAACATGAGCAGGTCTAAACAATGTCATCCTAGGAGGAGGGAGGGAGGTGTGTCAGATGCGAAAAATGCTCCTCAGGCCTCAACAGGCTTTCGACAGAGGAAAGCTTTTGTCCTCTGAGGTCTCCAACTGAATCATGCCCTCCACATTCAAGGGGGTGCTTCAGTTTCCTTTTGTCCTTAGACCACCCCCATCCAAATCCCATTCCTCTTGGTCAGAGGAAATTCCCATCTTATCATTGATAAAGGGGGCTTCCAGAGGTCAGGCAACTTCCTAAGAAAGCTCACCCAGGCTCCCAAGGGCCACCATTGGCACTGGAGCATATGCGTGTCCATCTTCAAAGCTCTTCTTTCCCCTATGACTTCTGTGCCCCGACGAATCTAATAAACTAAGGACACCCAAGGGGCTTGAGAGAAAGAAAGGTGCCAAGCATTTGTGGTGGGCCTATACTCCAGGGGACTATAGGTGTTACAAAAAGTTGATTTCCAATCAACTTTTGATTGATTGTTACAAAAAGTTGATTTCCAATCAAAAAGTTACACCTTTATGCCGACTCCATGATTATAAGCCACATAATGAAAACAGCCCATATTCGAGACACTGTTGGGTTCAGAAATGAAAGAAAGCAGTCTCATTTTCAAGACCCATTTCACGCATAAAATAAAATTCTAGTTAACATCAATTTGTGCTGATTGGGCCTGAGGGGAATGGGACTTACAAATGGGCAGGCAACCAAAATTTAGTATGGCATGTTTTATTGCTGGCTCTTATTTTCCTTTATATTAAATGCTTATCTTTCCCTCTGGAAGAAAAAAAATAACTCAAGACACAGAAGTCCATGAAGCTGCTCTCTCCCCAAAAGCTTGCATGCTGAATTGAGAAACAGGCCCACAAATGAGCCAGAGAAAACATTTAACATCTTATACTTACTGTCTAAAGCGCTTAATCCTTACTTAACATCTTTTTGCTTGTTCTACAGTTCAGTGAAGCCAGCTGCTTAGGACTCTTTCTGAGCAGCAGGGAGCTCTTTGAAAACATTCTTGGCCAAATGAAAGCATTTCAGCATGCTCTAATTTGCATGTTCCTCTGATGTTTATGAACAATGAAACTAAATGACTTGAAAAGGAAAAGATGATTGTGAAGGCGATAGTGCTGCTCTCCTCCTGAGCCGTGCTACCTGTGGGACCCTCCGCACACAGGCTTCCAGAACAATGGTCCCGCCTCTTCACTTTGCCATCTCACATGTCTAGGCTGATACTTAGGCTCTCTGTATAGAAATTCACATTGCAAATGTCAGGTACATAGATCTGTTCTGAGTCAGGACAGTAAACATGGCCTCTGCTTTCAGTGTGAATATGAAGACATATCAGTTTCCTTCCGAACGCTGCAGTTGCTCCAGGCAGGGTTTTTTGTTTTGTTTGGTTTGGTTTGGTTTTTTTTTTTTTTTTTTTTTTTTGGCATTTATACCTTTATGCCTGCAATTACATCATCACCTGGATCTGAGTAGGATTTTTACTTTCATTTTGACTGTTGATTTCCCTATGCTATTTAAATGATTTTTGGAGGGAAAGAGCCAAAATTATTACTTTGTGTTCAGCAGTTTATCGTTTTCATTGCTTTCAATTCTGGTCCAAGAGTTTGAAGACTAAAGTTAAATGATACCTCCCATCTGGACAGCTCTTTACCATTTTCAAAGCTTGCTCAAATATATTACTTTATTTGATCTTCACAATAATCCTGAGTGGGAAGCAGGACAGATGGTAATCTGATTTTACAGATGAGGAAATTAATGCTCAGGAGCCATGTGCTATAGCTGGTGGCTCTGGAGCTGGAAGCAAATTATTTGAGTCCTGGGCAAATATACTTTCCCCACAATGCTTAAAAATAAAATCATTTCCAGCTTCTCTGTTCTTAAACTAAAAACTCCTGGCTTATTTATTAGGGTGTGGCTAAATAGTTTACTAAAATACAAGTAAATTATTAGAATAAAAGAAATTCTTTTTTTTTTTTTTTTTTTTTTTTTTGAGACAGAGTCTGGCTCTGTGGCCCAGGCTAGAGTGCAGTGGTGTGATGACTCACTTCAACCTCCACCTCCCAGGTTCCAGTTATTCTCATGCCTCAGCCTTCTGAGTAGCTGGGACTACAGGCACGTGCCACCACACTTGGCTATTTTTGTTATTTTAGTAGAGTCAAGGTTTTACTATGTTGACTAGTCTGGTCTTGAACTCTGATCTCAAGTGATCAGCCTACCTCGGCCTCCCAAACTGTCGGGATTACAGGCATGAGCCACCATTCCAGGCCTGTAATCCAGAATGAGAGAAATTCTTGATTTTGACTGATGTCTCTATTTCTAGATCCTTCTTTTTGAAATAATGTTTTCACTTATATCTTTGTATTTTAAATAATTTTCAAAATTTTACCATTATTTTGGTAGGGTATTTCTTAAAAAGTCACTTCAGCCTATAGGTAATAGCACTTTCAAAGGATACAGACACTTGCTTTCTCAAAAACACTAAGCACTTTTTTTGTGTGTTGTCACACTGAGCAATTTAACACAATTCAAAGATGAGTTATTTTACCTGCCAGTTTCCTTAGCTTAGAAACTGTATGTGGCCGGGCACAGTGGCTCACACCTGTAATCCTAGTGCTTTGGGAGGCCAAGGTAGGCAGATCACTTGAGGTCAGGAGTTCAAGACCAGCGTGACCAACATGGCAAAGTCCCTTCTATACTAAAAATACAAAAATCAGCCAGGCATGGTGGTGCATGCCTGTAATCCCAGCTACTTGCAGGCTGAGGCATGAGAATCGCTTGGACCTAGGAGGTGGAGTTTGCAGAAAGCCGAGGTGGGGTACCACTGCACTGCAGACTGGGTGACAGAGTGAGACTCTGTCTCAAAAAAAAAAAAAAAAAAAAAAAGACCCAAAAAACTCTGTATCTTTCATTTCTAACTTCTTCAACAAGTTATATATTAAATTCGACATTCTAAGAAGGGTCACACCCTGCAAACAAGAAACCTCCTAAGATTAACACATTATCATGTAATAGAAAGAGCTGTGGGGTGGAAACCAGGTCTCACATCAACCTGTTACCTAAGCCTGGCCACTTAGCACTTTGTCAGGGCCTTGTTTTCATTTGGTTTGTTTGTTTGCCTTTTAAGTTGTGAAATGGAGATGATTTTCAAAATCAAACAGCTTCACGAATCTATCATATTAGCAAACAAAATATGACAAATTGTGTGATACAATTAGGACAGCAGCTTTTTCAAAATGTATCTGCTTATGAACAAGAGCATGAAGATCATTTTTAAAAACAGAAAGAACGTGTGAATGTAGTATGACAATCAGAGTTTTACTCTCTCTTTTCTCCACCTAAATGTGTTTGTTTGTTTTTTCCTACGTAGTCAGAATAATCCTTTTGACTTTTTTTTCCCTAGCTGCAGGGTGGAGTGGTTAAGCAAATAATATTATACACAAATGATGGCATAATATGCAGTCATTAGGATGTTTGTACACTGTTTTTAACAACATAGAAAAATGTTTAAGACATAATATTTACACAAATATCCTGTGATTTCAACTATGTAAAAATATACTGCAAAAACATAATGCAAAGTAGGGTGCTCTACCTCCGGGTATTAGAATAATGGACAATGGCTTCCACTTTTTTCTATATTCCCATAACTTTGACAAACCCTGATTTTGATTAGGAAGAAAAATAATAAACGTTATTTTGTAAAATAGGTTGTGGTACAGAAAAAAGTCCGAAATAGACTAAGTCTCTTACCCAAATTGCATATCCCTTTTTCCAACAGGTACCCAACTGGGCATTTGCAGATAAAGGATCCCTGAGTATTGTTGCATGTGGCCATGGATGGGCAGGGGCTCGAGAGGCATTCATTCACATCTGTAGAGGAGAAAAAGGAAGACCATACTGAATCTATAGCAAACAGCAAAACCATAACCCAGTATAGTAAGTACTTACTAAGGGCCAAATGGTGCTAGGTGTGGTGAGACCCCCAAGGATGAGTATGAGAACACCCTCGCCCTCAAGGGGCTTGCCATCTGTTGAAGGTGGAGGTGGCCACAGAAACAACTAACCGTAAATACAACATAGGATTTGCATATGTGGGGGAAAGAGCAAATTTTAACGGAGGGGAGAATTAAAGACTGTTTCAAATATATCTGGACTACAACTAAAAGGAGTTTAACAAATAGATTAGGGTGGCAACAGGGGATTCCAGGCAGAGGCATCAGCACAGGAAAGTCCAGGGGCAGGAATAGGGTCCAGTGTAGCAGGAGTGTCGGGAACAGACCCAGATCAGGAAGTCTGTCAGTGCTACACTACAGTCCCTGACATTCTCCTGCAGATCACAACCTACAAGCATGCTAACTCTCAAATAATCAGGGTATTAACTAAAACAGCGTATTTGTCCACATTTTGGAGGAAAAAGGAGTGTACTGGGTAGCCCAATATGGTACTGTAGTATAGACCTCTGGACATTACATTACTTACCCACACTGCAGTCATCCCCTTGCCAGGAAGGCAGGCACCTGCAGTGGTAGCCACGGCTGGTGTTGTCTGTGATGCATTTGCCATCATGAAGACAAGGGTTTATGGCACAGCTGTTGACTACAAACACATTCCAGGAGTAAAGCAGTTAACCACACAGAAAATATAAAGGCAGCTCTAGGTAAATAATTCTCCCAGCTAATATTTGATTCTTGCTTATTTCTGTTTACTCGCCCTGAAAGACCATACTACAAAAGTAACATGGGTTTCCCAGAGGTGCAGTGGGACTAGGTCCTGATACTAGTTTGTGTCCAGATATAAGTGTTAGACAATGGGATGGATCCCTGAATGCAAGAACTGATTCTAATCAATGCTGCTTACAGGTCACTCCATTCAGGATTGATGACGATATTGCCTTTGTGACACTTAGAAAATTCTATGTAGATCAATGTCAATAGAAAGCACACATTAAGGGGGAAGAGGATCTCTGATTGCTTCATCCCCCTACTAGGAGATTTACTCTGTGTGCATGTGTCTGTGTGTGTATACACGTGCTCTGCCCTTTCTCTTGGGTTTTATCAAAATCATAGTATCCTTTACCCAAAAATCTCCAAATTTACCTAAGCCTCCACATACTGTGCAATATTTAGAAAATGATCAGAGTTGAGCAGTTATGTAATATGCTTCATAAAGGTTTCTGACATACTTAGAGAAGCCAAAGCCTGTAACTGCATTGCCTGCAAAAAGGAAATCAGTGGTGGAATGAAAAAACGAAGGTAAAAGTCTTGACTCAAAACAATAGTAACAATAACTCTGAAAACAAATCAGCTAAACCTAAAGATGGTATTCCTGTCCTTTACTGCCATGTCAAATATTACTTAAAATCACCCACAGAAGCACAGCACCAGTATAACCAAACACTGAGCCATGAACACTGGCACAAAAAATATACCAACAGCCAGTGAGTCTGCCCCTAATATTCACCTACAGTTATCATCAGAATGTCTATAATTGGCTTTAAGGGAGATTTGTGTAATTAGATTCCATCTGGCACTAGAATATATGTGACCTGTGAAACTGAAGGTTATAAGCCTTGAAGCAAGGCTCCCAAACTTCCCTGGGGAAAGATTCACTTTTCATTTCCCAGAGGTGCTCAGATCACTGGTACAAAGGAGCACCATGGGGCTGGCATGGGGGTGGTCTGCTTATGAGCCTCCAGCCCAGGCTGACTGTGGCTGACAAGCTGGGACTACGCTGCTCACTGAGTCTCCTACCCCAGACGCTACAAAGCATCATCTCTTCTTTCCTTCTTCCCTAAGACACCAGTTTCCATTTCACTCCTTCTCCAGCAGCGATTTTCCTTTTCCTGTGTCTGGACAAGGCAAAAGCATAATTCTGAACATGACATGAAAAGATTCATCATCCTACTTCCTTCTACTGTTCCTTAAATGACAAAAGATCATTTGGCTGGTTTTACTTTCCAGAAACTTCAATATGGCTATAAAAACAACCCTAAGTGTGAATGTAAAGGAGCGCTGAGTAGTGACCGTGGGAAAAAGTTAGTTCATCATCTTTTCATTTACATATCTCCCCACTTGCATTTATCAACTAGCCACACTCTCTTTGGGAGACAAAGAAGCTTGGGCTCAAGAGAAGCCCAGTGACCCCAAGAAGTCCCCGTTGACTGAGGAGGCCCTGACTCAGAGACTCTGGGATCTGATCTAGAGGCAGATACCCAGTTTATCCCTGTTTCAGCTAGGCCACCTAAGCTTCTTTACTTTAGTTTCTCCACCCTCCAATCCTGCATCACTGCCCTCCTCTGACCTCTGAGAACTTAAAGGCATGCTTGAAAAGCTCTTAAGTCGGGTGTGGTGGCTCAAGCCTGTAATCCCAGCACTTTGGGAGGCTGAGGTGGGCAGATCACCAGGTCAAGAGATTCAGACCATCCTGGCCAACATGGTGAAACCCCATTTGTACTAAAAATACAAAAATTAAATGGGTGTGGTGACACACACCTACAGTCCTAGATATTTAGGAGGCTGAGACAAGAGAATCACTTGAACCCAGGAGGTGGAGGTTATAGTGAGTTGAGATTGTGCTACTGCACTCCAGCCTGGCAACAGAGCAAGATTCTGAAACTGAAGGTTATAGGCCTTGAAGCAAGGCTCCCAAACTTCCCTGGAGAAAGATCCACCTTTCATTTCCCAGAGGTGCTCAGATCACTGGTTAAAAAAAGAAAAGAAAAGAAAAAATAAAAATAAAAATAAAAGCTCTTACAACTACAGGGCATTAAAAGCTGCAATTGTGCCATCTACTGATGTGACACATGGCCAGTGCATCCTTTCCTCTTTATTCGGGAAGCATTATGCAACACAGGGGTGAGAAAATTGGGCCCGCCCATGGCCTTGTTTTACACTTTAAGTGTTTCAACAGGAAGCATTTTAGGTCACAAAACAGAAGCTATTTCAAACACCAGCCATTTCCACAAATTCACATGAACCCCGAGTCCCATGCAGCTCTCTGTGCTGGACTGGGCCTTGCAGTTAATGTGTGCTTGTGTGACTGTGTTTTACCTGAGGCTGAAGAGGACAGCGTTGTTGTTGACCATGTGCTGCTGTGAACAGCAAAGGTGGCAGATTTGGGAGCCAAGGCTTTAGCTGTGGAAACGTCTGTGGTTTGGGGAGAAGATGTTCCGAGGGAATGTGAAGCTGGACTGTACTCTGCTGTAATGCCAAGCCTTGTGGTCAGTTCTTTTGCTGATGTGGGTACACTGGTCAGAGGGATCAATCTGGTGGTAGCATCTACATTCACTTGGTTCCTCTCTGTGCTGATGCCACCATCTGTTGAGGTTTGAGGAACTAGAATTTCAGGATGGGTCGGCAAGAGCTGTTTTCCAGCTGTAGTCTGTAAGGCTGTAGGGCCAGTGGCCAGAGATGCTGTGCTTGACAGGGTGCCAGGAGTGGTCACAGGAGGTTGAGAAGTCTTCAGAATGGTGGTTGTGAAAGCTGGAGACATTTGCGCTAAGTTGGTGCCTGTGGCTGGAAGGGTCTGCTCTGTGGGGGACTCTGTTAAGGATGGAGGCAAAGGAGAGCTCGTTGTTACAGCCTTGGTGGACTCTGTGGGCAGAGACACTGGGCTTGGTGACTTTGATTCTGTAACGATTTTCTCTTGGTGTAGGGTGCTCTGGTTCTTAAGGTCTATGGTTTGACTACTATGGAGCATTGTCATGAATGATGTCGTCGTTGATGTCTGAACTGAAGTCACAGGAGTCTCTCTTGCTCTGGGCAGGACTGGGGTGGAAGATGACGGTGGTAAGGGTGTTTGTGAGACAGAAAGTGCGGCAGATGTGGATGCTGTTGAGGATACTGGTAAAGGTGAAGGTGAGGAAGACAATGGTGTGGGTGCATCAGCGGTAGACTTTAGCGGATGCATGGAGGCTCTGGTTGATGGTAAAATTGATGAAAATAAATGGTGGGATTCTGACACAGAGGGCAGAGGCAAAGGAGGCCCTGAAGAAGAAGAAGAGGCAGCAGCAGAGGAGGAGGAGGAGGAGGAGGAGGAGGAGGAGGAGGAAGAATAAGAGTCACCAGCAAACCCAGCATCAGTGTCCAGAACAACTGAAGTGTTTGGCATATTAATGGTGGGTGTGTAAGACGGAAGGTTGGATGTATGCAGAACCGGTAACTCAGTAGAAGGCTGAGCATATTCCCCGTCATAGGATGAGATGTTACTTCTGTCAGTCTGAGCGTAAGAAAAGGAGGAATCATCTGAATGTGAAGAGTTTGAGATCTTCATATAAGAAGTCGAGCTCTCCACAATGTCTGAGGATGAACTGTTATCTGTAATGGACAGTAACGCCCGTTCTCCTTTGGTGAAAGTAGATGACAGGTAGGTGTGGTCTGTGTGGTCGCTGGAAGTCCTTTGTTCAATAGCTGTGCCACTCACTTGACCGTAGCTAATCCCAGTGACTGCAAACAGAAAAGCCAAAGTTAGGTCAAATAAACGAATGACAGATCTCCGAAATATGTACTATCAAACAGACTTTCAGTGTCCTGAAATGAACCCAAGTGGTATAACTCATGTGGATGAAACACTTTCTTTGGAGAGATGGTTTTCAATGGTGAGCACTTTGAATAAAGACATTGTGGGCAGGCAGGAATGGTCAGCGTCTCCTCTGAGCAGACTGACCTGAGAGAAGCAGTGGCAGCAGCAGTGGAAATGGTAATAGAAGTGGGAACTAAGGGTCTAAAAATAGAGAGCAGTTCCAAATTCCCTCCACATGCCTTACTTGATAAAAGCAAATTAGTATCTGAAAATATCTTAAGACACCAAATAGAATAACTGTTATGCCGTAATGGAGGACAACCCTCCCAACTTCCCATTCTGTAGAATGAGATATTTCTTTCCCAGGAGACTGACCTTAGTGGTTGGTCTCTTATTTTAAGCCTCCAGGCAGACACTATCCCCAATTCCTTAGATGAGTGTGTGTAGAGGGCTCAGGGTGGGAACTGGGGAGGGATGTTGACCTTGCTTAGGTGACAGAAGCTAGAAACTTCTCTCCATAAAGAAGTGCTTATAAGGTACTTTCTGGCTTGAGAGCTAACTGAATCATCCCCAGACTGGGAGTAAACGGACAGATGAGCTGAAGGGATGTGTTAAAAGAGACTGTGGAAGATACCTCACCTCCAAGGGCACTGGAGGCGGCCAGTGACTGTGAAACCAGGCCAACATCGTCCGTCACATTCACATGCAGAGAGACACTCTCTGTTTCTTGAGGCATGGCTGCTGCAGGGCTGCCTGCTTTCCCAGAAGTTGTGCTCATGCTGGTGTTGGTGAGGGTGACAGACCGCACTGTGCGTTCCCCATTTCCAGTGACAGTAGCTGAAGTGTGAGTGCCAAGAGAGGGCACCCCAGAAGTTCTGTTCTCTGCTCTGTCAGAAGTGTCATCTAGTACTCCGTCCAGCTCTCGGCTGTCTTCCAAGGCTAAAAGAGGAGTGAAAGAGGACAGCTGATAAATGCAGGGCTGGAGTGACAGGATTGGGCACAAAGCCTCACTTCCTGGGCCATGGGAGCCAAAATGCTTCCCCATACTCTTAGGATCTTTATCTGAGATGTGTGTTGCCCTTGCAAACATGGATCAGTGATTGAAACCTCAGGAGGAACTGTGGATCAGGACATCTGTCAGGCACTCTGGATTTATAGGATTTATATTACTTTAGCAAATAGGATCAATATTGGATTTCTGCTCAGTGATACATAATAAATCGAGGTTATGTCAGTAGTGGCGGTAAGGTGGTAAACAGTGGGTGAGACTAATAACTCTACCAGGGCTTTAGACATTTGCACAAGGCCCAGGAGGGATGCCACAGTCCTCCTTGGAAGGCTTTTCCTCCTGGAAGGACCAAGAATACATGAATGGCCACGGGGCCAGTCATTCCAGAGCATTAGTACAACGGCAGACAAACAGCCTGAGGCTGAGGGTGAAAGGTGGGCTCATTTTTTGACTTATTTTATTTTTTTTTAATGCATGTGTTTTATTCTATTGATGAGGATGGAATAAGAAGATGACACATGAATAAATGTCCTTTTCCTTCTCTTTTGGGTATGTTTATGGTATAAACCTAAAGGGTCTTAGAACTAACCTTAGATAGTTAGATTATGAGATAAGCCCTTCTTTTCAGAAATGATGAAAATAAGATCCAATTCTCCTTGGCCTAAATCCTTCCTAATCTGGCATACAAACAAAAACAAACAAAAAAACCAGACTACTCCTTTTCTGGTTCTTATTCCCATTCCTAGCCCAGACTGGCCATTGGTATCCCAAGGCTATGCTTTGATGGAAAAAGTGTAAAGCTGAGCGTTGGCTAAATTCATTTCAGGAAAGGTTTGAATCAACAGACAGCATGAGCGTGGGCCATGAGCATCACTGAGAAAGCCAAAAGCCAGAGACAGATACGACTCAAGCCAGGCTGAAGGGCTCCAGACTTGTGGAGACTCAACCAGGAGAGGCTCAAGAGCAGGCTCTATCTGCACACGATTTCTCTGGGCAAAGAGAAAAAGGCCTTGGATGGGGAGATCCTTAACTCTCTGTTAGATGAAATTTAGGCCGACGACCACATCAGCGTTATGGGCTTAACAAAGTGGAGAGAGAGAGTCACAGCATGAACTAGAGGGGCTGAATCTGAATGCAGAAAAGGGAGTGGGCCAGAACTCTGAAAGGGTGGAGTGCAGAGCCCGTCAGCTTGAGTGATTCTGAGGGAATGAGATAAAGCATTGTGTTGACCCACAGTGAGATGGTTTCAGGAATGTGGCTACTTCTTATCTAGCTCTTTATAACTGAACTCCAAGATGTGATCACACTGAAATCACATTTTCCACATGAACCAACTGAGCATTAATTGCAGAGAAGAAGGGTACTAAAGAGATGTAAAAGGGAAAGGCTATGAAACCCAAGATCCTGGTTTAAGAAGGTAAAAGTCCTGAGCTCCACAGTAGCAAGGATGAAAAATGATTCCTTCTGCTTATGAGATAGAGAAAGTGTTTTTCAGGCACAGACATAGAAGAGCATAAATATCCCCAACTTGTATGTGTGGTATTCTTTCATGATAAGCATATGGTTTTCCATATCACATGAGTATTAAGAAATGCTAATCTTCCTCATCAGTTAGGATTCTCATATAGGTGAAATGGAGCTATTATTAGTGGTGGAGAAGTAAGAATTTAAACCTCTTCAAAGCTTACATGATAAGCGAATACATTTTTGCATTAGTCAGAATATACTTTAAGAGACTGCTGAGAATTGTTTTAAAACATTATCCCAGGCCAGGCGCAGTGGCTCACACCTGTACTCCCAGCACTTTAGGAGGCTGAGGAAGGTGAATCATGAAGTCAAGAGATTGAGACCATCCTGGCCAAGGTGGTGAAACCCTGTCTCTACAAAAAATACAAAACAGCCGGGCATGGTGGCATGCGCCTGTAATCCCAGCTACTAAAGAGGCTGAGGTGAAAGAATTGCTTGAACCCAGGAGGCAGAGGTTGCAGTGAGCCCAGATTGCACCACTGCACTCCAGCCTGGGGACAGAGCAAGACTCCATCTCAAAAAAAGAAAGAAAAAAAAAATTATCCCAAAGCATTATTAAAAAGAAACATCAAAAGAAAAATTTTCTCAAATTGACAAACTGGACATCTTCAAATTTAAAAACTTTTGTGCTACAAATGATACCATCAAGAAAGAGGAAAGACCACCCAGAGAAGAGCAGAAATGTTTGCAGATTATATATTTGATAAAGGACTGTATCCAAAATATACAAATAACTCTTTTTTATTTTTTCTTTTTGAGACAAAGCCTCTCTGTCACCCAGGCTGGAGTGCAGTGGAATGATCTCAGCTCACTGTAACCTCTGCCTCCCAGGTTCAAGCTATTCTCCTGCCTCAGCCTCCTGAGTAGCTGGGATTACAGGCATGTGCCACCATGCCAGGATAATTTTTGTGTTTTTAGTATAGACGATGTTTCGCCACATTGGCAAGGCTGGTCTAGAACTCCTGACCTCAAGTGATGAGCCCATTTCGGCCTCCCAAAGTGCTGAGATTACAGGTGTGAACCACCATGCCTGGCAACAACAAACTCTTACAATTTAATAATAAAAAGTCAAATAATGCAATTTTAATAAAATACTCAAAAGATTTGAATAGACATATTCAGAGAAGACATACAAGTGGCCAAGAAGCACATGAAAAGATGCTCAGCATTATTAGTCAACTGGGAAATACAAGTCAAAACCACAAGTGATGTCTTCACACTCACTTAGATGAGCATAATTAGAAAAGACGGATAATTACAAGCGTCAGTGAAGACGCAGCAACATTAGAACACTTGTACACTGCTGATGGGAATATAAAATGACGCAGCCACGTTGGAAAAGAGTTCGGCAGTTCTTCAGAAGGCTAAAAATAGAGCTGCCATATAACCCGGCCATTCCTAAATAATTGAAAATTTACGACCACATACACACTTGTGAATGTTCACCACATCATTACTCATAATAGATAGAAGGTGGGAACAACTCAAACACCGTCAGTTGATGACAGGATAAACAAAGTGTGGTATATCCCTGCTATGGCATATATATATATATTTGAGATGGAGTCTTGCTCTGTTGCCAGGCTGGAGTGCAGTGGCACAATCTCAGCTCTCTTCAACCTCTGCCTCCCAGGTTCAAGTGATTCCCCTGCCTCAGCATCTATAGGTGAGTGCCGGTAGACCCAGTATTTTAGTAGAGACGAAGTTTCACTATGTTGGCCAGGATGGTCTCGATCTCCTGACCTCATGATCTGCCTGCCTTGGCTTCCCAATAGCTGGGATTACAGCGTAAGCCACCATACCTGGCCTGCTATGGCATATTATTAAGCTGCAAATGGAATGAAGTTGTAATATAACATGGGTGAACCTTGATAACATGACACTAAGGGAAACACACAAAAGACCACATATTGTATGGTCTCATTTATGGGAAATGTCTAGAATGGACACATCTACAGAGACAGAAAGCACAGGAGTGACTGCCAGGGACTGGGAGGAGGGAAGAATGGGAGGTGATGGCTGATGAGGTTGGAGTTTTGTTGGGGTGATGGAAATGTTCTGGAATTAGACAATTTTGTGACTATGCTATAAATCACTGAATTGTGTACTTAAAATGGGCAAATATGATGGAATGTGAAATATACCTCAATAAAGCTGTTTTTTAAAAAAGAATTTCTTTTGATGAATGCCCTGACAACTACTCACGAGAAGGTGATATTTTCACCTTCCAGAAGTTCTGTGACTGAGGCAGGCATGGAGTTAAGATTTGGGCTGCAGGAAATGAGAGGAGGTGGACAGAGAAGTCCCCGAGCTGTGTGTGCGAAGAGGAAGTGGCAAGAACAGCTTCTCAGAGATGTACCAGAAAAACTGGGGGATATATCAATATCAAATATATCAACAAGGTGTATCTGTATCAATCAGCTAGAAGAAGGGCCGGGGGAATAAGGAAGCTGGGGGGCCCCAGGAGTTATTTCATTCATGCATGATTTGTTTTTCTTTCTTTCATTTTTTTTTTTTTTTCATGACATAGTTTTACTCTCGTTACCTAGGCTGAAGGGCAGTGGCGTGATCTCGGCTCACTGTAACCGCCGCCTCTCAGGTTCAAACAGTTTTTTGGTCTCAGCCTCCTGAGTAGCTGGGATGCAGGTGCCCACCACCATGCCTGGCTAATTCTCTGCATTGTCAGTAGAGATAAGGTTTGACCATTTTGGTCAGTCTGGTCTCAAACCCCTGACCACAGATGATCCACCTGCCTTGGCCTCCCAAAGTGCTGAAACTACAGGCATGAGCCATCATGCCCAGCCCTCATGCATAGTTTTAATATGCCACAGATTTCATAAGCATCATGAGTCCCTCTCTCCTCCATGGGGCACAGTTGCATGAACTGAAAAAACTCACTTGAACGTTCTTCACGTGGTGGTGATGAATTCAAGCTTTCTGAGGAAGATGTAGATGAAGACTCTGAGTAACTCCTATCTCCCAATGCCGTGTCACTTCCTCCAGACTGTAGAGTCGAGTCTGAGAACTGGGTCAGCACTGAAGCATTCACACCTTCAGGATATGAAGCAGAGCTTGCTGTCACATCTGCAGATGCCTCGCTGTTGGTCAAGGGCCAGCGTGCAGTGCTCTCTCCACCTCTCATGGCTGCGACTGACCTAGACACAGTCTCAGTCTGAGACAAGGGACTTCTATTTTGCACCTCAGAGCTGCTGGAAAGCTGATGTTCTCCAAAGGCTGTAAGGCATCATGGGAAAAAAGGCCATGACAGAGATATGAAAGAGATTCCTTGGCAACTCACAAGTAAAAGCTCTCTGAGGAGTGATTCTTTGCCAAGGAACCTGGTGTAGTGTTTATTAAATGTATTATGCATTATCATATTTTCAATAGTTACTCAAGACTCTTGGGTGGCAACAAGATAGCAATAACAAAATATACAACTTGTTGAACAGGGAGCCTTTGAAACAGCATGTGCAAGTAGCAGAGGGACCTATAGGCTTCAGTGTTTCACTCTCTTTCCCACAAGCATTGGAGAGATTGAGAGTGTGGTTACGTACGACAAACACAATGCACATAAACACAGCGCACAGTCAGAGGACTTTCCTAAAACAGCTCTTGTATGAATAAAGGTTATTCTAATTCCAAAGTATAGCCAAAAAAAAAATCAACTATAAGGATTAAGCCAAACCATGAATTTGAGAATGAATGAATCTGCACGTTTATGTGGAAAGATGATCTGTACACAAAATAATGGAAGCTAGATTAAAGAGTGGGCCAGGCTGGGCACAGGGGCTTATGCCTGTAATCCCAACACTTTGGGAGGGCAAGGAGGGAGGATAGCTTCAGCCTCGGAGTTCAAGACCAGCCTGGACAACATGGCAAGACCCCATCTCTACAAAAAGATAGAAAAATTAGCTGGGTGGAGGGGCAAGCACCTGCAGTCCCAGCTACTTGGGAGGCTGAGGTGGGAGAGCACCTGAGCCTCGGCAGGTCGAGGCTGCAGTGAGCCGTGGTCACACCACTGCACTCTAGCCTGGGTGACAGAGACAGACCTTGTCTCCAAAACAAAATAAAAATAAAACATAAAGAGCAGGCCAGCTCTCAGCTTGAAGACAATGCTGTAGAGTGAGAAGATGGAACCGAGAACCCGGAGGCTAAGGTCTCAACTCTACTGACTGAGCTAAATGGCCAGGCACCCATTACTTAAACCCCCAGAGCCAGTTTCCTCATCTATAAGAAAGCAGGAGGAATGACACCTGTCTCACTAACTTCACAATGTTCTTGTAAGAGCGAACATCAAAATGCGATAATGCCATTAAAGAGCATACTTTTCTCCGGAGATTACAAATGGTCTTGAGGAGATCCCCTAAGAAAATTCAACGATTCACATTGTCCCCGATAGATCAAGTAAAGATGGAATACTTACTTGGGGAATCATTTTGCCAATGCAAAGATGTACGTCCAAATTCATGTTCCGTGGATGGTTCAATGAATTCCCCATCCCCTGGATTCCTAGTTACTCCTCTGTTGCTTCTCGATTCCACTGCAGAGGGTGAAGGATGGACTGAGGCTGAAGTCATGGCAATTCTGGAGTCCTCAGGGAAGCCCTTGGTCTCATTTATAGGTCCCAGACTGACTGTCAAAGATCGGAGCGTTCTGGGGCCACCATCAGTGAACACGGTGGCAACGTGCATTGTCTTTGTTTGACTGACTGAGGGGCTCTGGAGGCCAGTGGACTTGTTAAGCTGCTCTGTACTTCCAGAAGCTATGACAGAAGAAGATATGCTTCAAAATTATTCAGGAGTTTAAGAAAATCAGGACTGTATTTGAGATACAAATGATGTTTCTTACATTCTGGTGGATACACTCACATACCATGGACCTAATATAGATACAAACATATCTATACACACACACGTGTGACCAGGACGCATACCTGCACTCTCCCTCACTAGTTCTAATTCTCACGGAAGAAGCTGGAGAACAGTGAGGTCCCTCACCAGGCACAATGAGAAGATCTTATGTTATTTGTATTATTTGAGATGAAATAATGCAGACATAAAGATAAAAATGTCTGTTGAATTCTTCATTACAGCTTAAACAGGACAGGTCACTATGATAAGGTTTTTGTTATTTTGCTTTGTTTTAGCAATGTAACCTGTTTGTTCAAAGGCTATCATTGATTAAAATCTCATACATAAAATGAATCAATGTGGGGCTGCTGCAAGGGGCCCCACCCCAGGTCACTACTGAGAGGGTCTAGGGTTTTGCAGAATACAGCAGGGACATTCATGGCCCAGAGCAGTAATTCCCAGCCTTGTCACCATCAAGGGTTCTTTATGATTCCCCACCTCATGGTCACCATAAGCCTTATGTCTTGAAAGATTATTAACCAAACTGCATTTATTCAGTAACAGAATTTTTAACCAGCAGGAAATACTTATTATTACCCCACAAATTTAATTCTACCCAAAAGCAAACGGGCTTCATGATCATACTTTCCCTCACTAAGCTTTAGAGACCAGCTCTCAAATCCGCACTCTACTCCAATGGGCCCCTTGGAGATCAAGGACTCCAGGAGCAGCTTCTCTAATCCACGGCTGTCATCCATGGGAAACTGTCAAGAACCTCAAGGAGTGAAGCAGACACTGTTGGTCAAAAGGAGCAGTCTGCTCTATGGAAGTACGGGTGGCTCCCCTCCAGAGAACTTTCCAAAGGATGCCCTGAGAACTGCCCTCCAGAAAGGTCTATTAAAATCTTCATTCCAGACAGGAATAAACTGCAGGAAAGCCTAGGGAATGGGAAGAAATCTGGTAGGTAAGACTAAAGGCAAAAAAAAAAAAAAGAGTGTTTTTATTCTTTTTAGGCTAAAAATAATAAAAAGTACCCTACCCCTATATAATAAAAGGCTTTGAGCTGTTAATTACAGCCCAGAAAAGGGAAAAGGGAAGTTGTCATTATAAACACTTCCTTGAAGACCAGTTCTATGTGCAGTTGTGACCAAAACCACAAATAAATTTTAAATATCACTACAGTGAGAGAGAGAGAGAGCGAGAGAGAGAGCGAGAGAGAGCGAGAGAGAGCGAGAGAGAGAGAGAGAGAGAAACAGAGACAGATACAGAGGGCAAGAAAGCATGGGAAACAAAAATGTTCCTCTCACTCTTGTGCAAAACCATAAAACCAGCTATACCTAGAACCAGCAGCTCTGGTCATCTGACCTTAATGAAGACAAAAGGAAGATGCAGGCAATCTATAAAACTAGTAATTGAAACAAGAAACAGAGAGACCTGGACACAAACAGAGAGTCCAAGAACACCAAAACCCACCTCTTCTTCAAAACAGAAACTAAACCAAACCGAACCAAACAAACAAAAAAAACTTCAGTATATAAGAAAGGAAAGTATAATGACATGCCCCAAATCCCCACTCAACCACATGGCTTCTCGGCCCTAATTAGAGTCATTATTTACAAACACCAAATTACAGCCTCATCAGCTTGCTGGAGGTTCTTTCAAAACACTTTTATTCCCAGGAAACTGCATTAAGTTCATCCATACAACATTCCCATCAAAACCCAGTGATGAGCTGGTAGCAGTGGCTCATGCCTGTAATCCCATCACTTTGGGAGGCTGAGGCAGGCAGATCACCTAAGGTCAGGGGTTTGAGACCAGCCTGGCCTACATGGTAAAACACCGTCTCTGCTAAAAATACAAAAATTAGCCAGGCATGGTGATGGCCACCTGTAATCCCAGCTACTCAGGAGGCTGAGGCAGGAGAATCACTTGAAACTGGGAGGCAGAGGTTGCAGTGAGCTGAGATTGCATCGTTGCACTCCAGCTTGGGTGACAAAAACAAAACAAAACAAAACCCAAAAATCTGTGTTAAACATGAGCTTCAATAGTGACATAAACTGGGTAGGTTGTACCTACTTCTGCCCCAAGTATCTGGTATAGAGGAATGGCATTTTGGCTTGATGTCTTTTCCCCTTACCCTCTATTATGGGTATGTAATTAGCTGGCTATGCACATTGATTTATGTCTACTTTGAGTGACTTCCGAGTGTTAAGCTGGGGATCTGGCACTCACATGAGGAATGGTCTGAGAGAGGAGAGGAAGCCAGTGTCCTGGAGAAATGCAGCCAGGAGAGATCTGGTCCTGAAGAATTTCTCTTCTGAGGAGGCGTGGCCAGTTCTCCCATCTCCAAAGCAGGAAGAGAGGATGGGCTCGAAGCTGAAGTCGTGGCCTCTCGGCTGTGCACAGTCACTTCTTCTGACAGCCCCATCGCCCTCTCTGTTCCCATCTCTGAGGTTGTTCCACTCTTTGCTTGCAAAGGGGCAATTCTTTCATCGAACTCCGAACTGCTCGATGGCAGGTGAAGACTTTCCGAGGCTGAAAACAGACAGCAACATTAGAATTCCACCAGCACACTTCAAATGTCTTAATATGCTTTGAGGGGCTCAGTTCTCACATCTATAAAATATATAGACATGAGAAGAATTAGGAGAATAGTTCATTCCATGAAAAATAAACTCCTGAAAAAGACCACAAACCAAGGCAGAGATTGTTTGTAGATCTCACAAAGGTTCTGTGTATTGTGGTAAAATTCTCAGAAAAGCGGCAAGTGGGAGGTACCTATCAGACAATATGGAATCAAAGATCAGGGTCTGATCAGGATCCAGCACCCACATCCACCAAATGGGTCCCAGAATTTACCTGAATGCAACATAAACAGAATTCCCAACATCTGGGAGAACAAGAAGACCACGGAATACCATGAGCAGAGTTTCTAAGCACTGTAGAAATCATTTATGAATACAAAATACTCTCATACTCATCTGTACAGAATCGAGTCCCCCCAACCAGCCACTAGGACCTGAAACCATACAGTCATCTCTGACGGCTTCATCCTTTACTTTCAGGCCATCAACAAGTCCTACCAATCCCTTCCTCTTCATCCCTGTGGCCACCAGGCCATATTGCAGCACCTGGTGTCTGGATTTCTCTGTCTGCCTGGGTGGTCCCTTCCAGGTTCCCTTCATCCTCCCACTCCCATGCCAGACATCCTGTACCTGCCTGCCAGGTGATACTCCCCAAATTCACTTTAGTTATATCACTCACGTGCTCAAAAACCTTCACTGACTCTTCCTACCACACCAAATCTAAACTGCCAGGTTTCCAAAGTCCTATGTGATTGTCCCCAACCCTGTCCACACAATGGTCCTACCTGCTCCTCCTCACCTCTGTGGGCAACTGACGCCCTCCCCAAGGGAGGCTGCTGGCCTTGCCACCCTACAGGGAGGCCACGCCTGTCTTTCTCTCCTCTGTACTTCACTCCTGTTGTCCAGGCATTCCACACTTCAGCACCCCTGCCACCTCGCTCAGATACACAGGCATAAATTCCAATCCCAGTTCTGAAACCTATTAACTGTTTGACCTACACTTATTGGGTCAACTCACGTCTCTGAGCTTCCGTTTCCAAATGCCTGAAAGGAGAATAACATGACCTCATGGGCTTGCTGGAAAGACTGAGGAAACAGACATGCTGCAAAGACTGACGAAACAGACAGTGGTATGTAGGAGGTCCCTCATTAATGCTACTCTTCTTAGTCTTCTCTTCCTCAATCAAATCTTACCCACTGAGCCCCAGCACCTTCTTGACATTCTTTGCTAAAAATAGCAAACAACCAAGTTGTGCACACCAGAGCACGAACAACCATTTGGGTCACGTCAACACAAACCGAACCCAAGCCTGCCCCAGCTATGCATCCGGCAAAACCTACTGCCTCTGAGAGCCTCAGGTGTGGGAGGCTCCCTGGAGAAGGAATGAAGTTTGGATTCCGCTGGCCATGGATCACAGATGCCTCAGGACCAGAGAGGCCGCTCAGTGAATCTGCACCCTTGTCTGGTCTGTAGGGACAAGCATCATACAAATGAGGCCTAAGACACAGGTCTGACCCACCACAGCCTAGGAACCTTGGAAGGGCACAATGGCTCAGAATGCGGGTTGTGGGAAATGGCAGAAACTCTGTTCTCCAAGACAGGACACACATGCGTGAAATGCACATCATCAGCACAAGCTCACCTAAGGCACCACTCTGGGAAGTCAGAGCTGTTGCTATCTCCAGCGAGTACCCAACAGACGAAATAGTGAAGTTTGTTCTACTTGAAGAGCCGTTCCTTCCTCTAGCATCTGCTGTTTCAGTGAACAGAGTGAGGTGTTCTGGAGCATCCGAAGCAGCGTGGCTCTTCCCGGAGGTCTGACTCATCACATCCTCTTTGGAGGCCACTGTTGAAATGTCCTCTTGATTCTGATACAAGGTGATGTTTTCTACATGAGGCTCAGTGTTACTTTCTGCCCAATGGTTCCACGCAGCATCTGAAAGAAGAAGAGGATGCATCAGGGAGAACTTGCTGCCTTCTGAAAAGAAAAGCAAACCTTCAGAAAAGACACCAGGAGATACATCAATAGAGAGCGGATTCAAGTAAAAGAATTTCACCATATTCACTATGCTTACAATCCAGAGCAAGAAATTATGAAGCAATAATACAATGTAGTATTAAATTTCATTGTGCGTAGAATAAATGAGGAAAACATATTGATGGGGCTCATAGAAGAACAACTGAGCCTCTGGCACCTGGGTAGGGTTGGAGAGTGGAGTGGAGGAGGAAGATCGGGTGTAAGCAGAAGGAAAGAAGCATCTCCCATTCGCCAAAGTTGTTAACTGTGCCTCTTGGGGTGGTAGGATGGTATTATAAAAGCTGGCAGCCCTTGACCTTGACACCTACTCTTGCAGGTGGGAGGTGTGATGCACAATTCTGATAAAACAAGGCAGCTCCGGCAATATTACTGAAACTTGGGTAATGTAAATGGGTTTAGGGTAGTAATTCCATCTTTGAATTTATCTGAAGAAGATACTCAAGAATGTGGAAAAAGATTTAGCCGCACAGATGTTCATTACAGCACTGTTTACAATAGCAAAAGGAAGAAATAGAAACAGGAAAAGAACAAACTTAAAATTCCTCCAGTAGGTTGTCAATTAAATGAGTTACAGCAGACAGTATGTGCAAGAAAGAACACCATGTAGTCACTGAATTAGTGCTACAAAATAAAGATATTCTTCAGGGATTGTTGAATTAAAACAGCATGCTTCAAATGGAGTTTACATTTAATGATCTGTTTCTGTCAAAAATAATAATAACATCAAATATGTGTGTGCTAAATACTGAGGCTGGTAGCAGACGTAAGTGCCTGATGATGTCTATTCATTCAAGCATTACACAAAGTTGAATATAGGTCCTCTTATTCACCCCATTTTACATAGGAAGCAAAGGAGGCACAGAGGGTCGGGAGGTCATGCATCTTGCCCAAGTTGCACAGTCAAAAAGCAGGAGGGTATATGATTATGCTACAAATAAAGGGTCTTAGAACTAATCTTAGATTATGAGACAAGCCCTTCTTTTCAGAAATGGTGAACATAAAGTCCAATTCTCCTTGGCCTAAATCCTTCCTAATCTGGCTGTACAACAAAACAAAACAAAACAAAGAAACAAAAACCAGAATCCTTTTCTGGTTCTTATTCCCATTCCCAGCCCAGATTGGCTATTGGTACCCCATGGCCATGCTTTGATGGAAAAAGTGTAAAGCTGAGTGTTGGCTAAATTCATTTCAGGATAGGTTTGAATCGACAGACAGGATGAGTGTGGGCCATGAGCATCACTGAGAAAGCCAAAAGCCAGAGACAGATACGACTCAAGCCAGGCTGAAGGGCTCCAGACTTGTGGAGACTCAACCAGGAGAGGCTCAAGAGCAGGCTCTATCTGTACACGATTTCTCTGGGCAAAGAGAAAAAGGCCTTGGATGGGGAGATCCTTAACTCTCTGTTAGATGAAATTTAGGCCGACGACCACATCAGCGTTATGGGCTTAACAAAGTGGAGAGAGAGAGTCACAGCATGAACTAGAGGGGCTGAATCTGAATGCAGAAAAGGGAGTGGGCCAGAACTCTGAAAGGGTGGAGTGCAGAGCCCGTCAGCTTGAGTGATTCTGAGGGAATGAGATAAAGCATTGTGTTGACCCACAGTGAGATGATTTCAGGAATGTGGCTACTTCTTATCTAGCTCTTTATAACTGAACTCCAAGATGTGATCACACTGAAATCACATTTTCCACATGAACCAACTGAGCATTAATTGCAGAGAAGAAGGGTACTAAAGAGATGTAAAAGGGAAAGGCTATGAAACCGAAGATCCTGGTTTAAGAAGGTAAAAGCTCTGAGCTCCACAGTAGCGAGGGTGAAAAATGATTCCTTTTGCTTAGGAGATAGAGAAAGTGTTTTCCAGGCACAGACATAGAAGAGCATAAATATCCCCCACTCGTATGTGTGGTATTCTTTCATGATAAGCATATGGTTTTCCATATCACATGAGTATTAAGAAATGCTAATCTTCCTCATCACTTAGGATTCTCATATAGGTGAAATGGAGCTATTATTAGTGGTGGAGAAGTAAGAATTTAAACCTCTTCAAAGCTTACATGATAAGCGAATACATTTTTGCGTTAGTCAGAATATGCTTTACATTGATAAGAGACTGCTGAGAATTGTTTTAAAAAGTTATCCCACAGCATTATTAAAAAGAAATATCAAAAGGAAAATTTTCTCAAATTGACAAATTGAACGTCTTCAAATTTAAAAACTTCTGTGCTACAAATGATACCATCAGGAAAGAGAAAAGACCACCCACAGAATAGAAGAAATGTCTGCAGATTACATGTATTTGATTAAAAGACTATCTGGAATATAAAAATAACTTTTTTTTTTTTTTTTTTTTTTTTAAGACAGTCTCTCTCTGTCACCCATGCTGGAGTGCGGTGGCATGATCTCAGCTCACTGGAGCCTCCACCACCTTAGGTTTCAAGTGATTCTACTGCCTCAGTCTCCCGGGTAGCTGGGATTACGGGCATGTGCCATTGTGTCCAGCTAATTTTTATATTTTTATTATAGACACCTATAATAATATTGGCAAGGCTGGTCTAGAACTCCTGACCTCGAGTGATTCGCTCATTTCGGCCTCCCAAAGTGCTGAGATTACAGGCGTGAACCACCACGCCTGGCCACAACAAACTCTTACAATTTAATAATAAAAAGTCAAATAATACAATTTTAATAAAATACTCAAAAGATCTGAATAGACATATTCAGAGAAGACATACAAGTGGCCAAGAAGCGCATGAAAAGATGCTCAGCATTATTAGTCAACTGGGAAATACAAGTCAAAACCACAAGTGATGTCTTCAGACTCACTCAGATGACTATAATCAGAAAAGACGGATAATTACAAGCGTCAGTGAAGACTCAGCAACATTAGAACACTTGTACACTGCTGATGGGAATATAAAATGACGCAGCCACTTTGGAAAAGAGTTCGGCAGTTCTTCAGAAGGCTAAAAATAGAGCTGCCATATAACCCGGCCATTCCTAAATAATTGAAAACTTACGACCACATACACACTTGTGAATGTTCACCACATCATTACTCGTAATAGACAGAAGGTGGGAACAACTCAAACACCATCAGTTGATGACAGGATAAACAAAATGTGGTATATCTGTGCTATGGCTGGAGGGCAGTGGCATGATCTCGACTTACTGCAACTTCCACCTCCTAGGTTCAAGTGATTCTCCTGGATCAACCTCCCAAGTAGCTGGGATTACAAGTGCCCACCACCATGACTGGCTGGTTTTTTGTATTTTTGGTAGAGACGGGATTTCACCATGCTGGTAAGTCTGGTCTGAAACTCCAGACCTCAGGTGATCCACCAGCCTTGGCCTCCCAAAGTGCTGGGATTACAGGTATGAGCCATTGTAACCAGCCCTCATGCATAGTTTTAATACGCCACAGATTTCATAAGCATCATGAGTCCCTCTCTCCTCCATGGGGCACAGTTGCATGAACTGAAAAAACTCACTTGAACGTTCTTCACGTGGTGGTGATGAATTCAAGCTTTCTGAGGAAGATGTAGATGAAGACTCTGAGTAACTCCTATCTCCCAATGCCGTGTCACTTCCTCCAGACTGTAGAGTCGAGTCTGAGAACTGGGTCAACACTGAAGCATTCACACCTTCAGGATATGAAGCAGAGCTTGCTGTCACATCTGCAGATGTCTCGCTGTTGGTCAAGGGCCAGCGTGCAGTGCTCTCTCCACCTCTCATGGCTGCGACTGACCTAGACACAGTCTCAGTCTGAGACAAGGGACTTCTATTTTGCACCTCAGAGCTGCTGGAAAGCTGATGTTCTCCAAAGGCTGTAAGGCATCGTGGGAAAAAAGGCCATGACAGAGATATGAAAGAGATTCCTTGGCAACTCACAAGTAAAAGCTCTCTGAGGAGTGATTCTTTGCCAAGGAACCTGGTGTAGTGTTTATTAAATGTATTATGCATTATCATATTTTCAATAGTTACTCAAGACTCTTGGGTGGCAACAAGATAGCAATAACAAAATATATAACTTGTTGAACAGGGGACCTTTGAAACAGCATGTGCAAGTAGCAGAGGGACCTATAGGCTTCAGTGTTTCACTCTCTTTCCCACAAGCATTGGAGAGATTGAGAGTGTGGTTACGTACGACAAACACAATGCACATAAACACAGCGCACAGTCAGAGGACTTTCCTAAAACAGCTCTCGTATGAATAAAGGTTATTCTAATTCCAAAGTATAGCCAAAAAAAAATCAACTATAAGGATTAAGCCAAACCATGAATTTGAGAATGAATGAATCTGCACGTTTATGTGGAAAGATGATCTGTACACAAAATAACGGAAGCTAGATTAAAGAGTGGGCCAGGCTGGGCACAGGGGCTTATGCCTGTAATCCCAACACTTTGGGAGGGCAAGGAGGGAGGATAGCTTCAGCCTCGGAGTTGAAGACCAGCCTGGACAACATGGCAAGACCCCATCTCTACAAAAAGATAGAAAAATTAGCTGGGTGGAGGGGCAAGCACCTGCAGTCCCAGCTACTTGGGAGGCTGAGGTGGGAGAGCACCTGAGCCTCGGGAGGTCGAGGCTGCAGTGAGCCGTGGTCACACCACTGCACTCTAGCCTGGGTGACAGAGACAGACCTTGTCTCCAAAACAAAATAAAAATAAAACATAAAGAGCAGGCCAGCTCTCAGCTTGAAGACAATGCTGTAGAGTGAGAAGAAGATGGAACCGAGAACCTGGAGGCTAAGGTCTCAACTCTACTGACTGAGCTAAATGGCCAGGCACCCATTACTTAAACCCCCAGAGCCAGTTTCCTCATCTATAAGAAAGCAGGAGGAATGACACCTGTCTCACTAACTTCACAATGTTCTTGTAAGAGCGAACATCAAAATGCGATAATGCCATTAAAGAGCATACTTTTCTCCGGAGATTACAAATGGTCTTGAGGAGATCCCCTAAGAAAATTCAACGATTCACATTGTCCCCGATAGATCAAGTAAAGATGGAATACTTACTTGGGGAATCATTTTGCCAATGCAAAGATGTACGTCCAAATTCATGTTCCGTGGATGGTTCAATAAATTCCCCATCCCCTGGATTCCTAGTTACTCCTCTGTTGCTTCTCGATTCCACTGCAGAGGGTGAAGGATGGACTGAGGCTGAAGTCATGGCAATTCTGGAGTCCTCAGGGAAGCCCTCGGTCTCGTTTATAGGTCCCAGACTGACTGTCAAAGATCGGAGCGTTCTGGGGCCACCATCAGTGAACACGGTGGCAACGTGCATTGTCTTTGTTTGACTGACTGAGGGGCTCTGGAGGCCAGTGGACTTGTTAAGCTGCTCTGTACTTCCAGAAGCTATGACAGAAGAAGATATGCTTCAAAATTATTCAGGAGTTTAAGAAAATCAGGACTGTATTTGAGATACAAATGATGTTTCTTACATTCTGGTGAATACACCCACATACCACGGACCTAATATAGATACAAACATATCTATACACACACACGTGTGACCAGGACGCATGCCTGCACTCTCCCTCACTAGTTCTAATTCTCACGGAAGAAGCTGGAGAACAGTGAGGTCCCTCACCAGGCACAATGAGAAGATCTTATGTTATTTGTATTATTTGAGATGAAATAATGCAGACGTAAAGATAAAAATGTCTGTTGAATTCTTCATTACAGCTTAAACAGGACTGGCCACTATGATAAGGTTTTTGTTATTTGCTTTGTTTTAGCAATGTAACCCGTTTGTTCAAATGCTATCATTGATTAAAATCTCATACATAAAATGAATCAATGTGGGGCTGCTGCAAGGGGCCCCACCCCAGGTCACTACTGAGAGGGCCTAGGGTTTTGCAGAACACAGCAGAGACACTCATGGCCCAGAGCAGTAATTCCCAGCCTTGTCACCATCAAGGGTTCTTTATGATTCCCCACCTCATGGTCACCATAAGCCTTACGTCTTGAAAGATTATTAACCAAACTGCATTTATTCAGTAACAGAATTTTTAACCAGCAGGAAATACTTATTATTACCCCACAAATTTAATTCTACCCAAAAGTAAACGGGCTTCATGATCATACTTTGCCTCACTAAGCTTTAGAGACCAGCTCTCAAATCTACACTCTACTCCAATGGGCCCCTTGGAGATCAAGGACTCCAGGAGCAGCTTCTCTAATCCACGGCTGTCATCCATGGGAAACTGTCAAGAACCTCAAGGAGTGAAGCAGACACTACTGGTCAAAAGGAGCAGTCTGCTCTATGGAAGTACGGGTGGCTCCCCTCCAGAGAACTTTCCAAAGGATGCCCTGAGAACTGCCCTCCAGAAAAGTCTCTTAAAATCTTCATTCCAAACAGGAATAAACTGCAGGAAAGCTTAGGGAATGGGAAGAAACATGGTACGTAAGACTAAAAGCACAGAAAAAGAGTGTTTTTATTCTTTTTAGGCTAAAAATAATAAAAAGTACCCTACCCCTATATAATAAAAGGCTTTGAGCTGTTAATTACAGCCCAGAAAAGGGAAAAGGGAAGTTGTCATTATAAACACTTCCTTGAAGACCAGTTCTATGTGCAGTTGTGACCAAAACCACAAATAAATTTTAAATATCACTACAGTGAGAGAGAGAGAGAGAGAGAGAGAGAGAGACAGAGACAGAGACAGAGACAGAGAGACAGAGAAACAGAGACAGATACAGAGGGGAAGCAAGCATGGGAAACAAAAATGTTCCTCTCAGTCTTGGGCAAAACCACAAAACCAGCTATACCTAGAACCAGCAGCTCTGGTCACCTCTCTTAATGAAGTCAAAAGGAAGATGCAGGCAATCTATAAAACTAGTAATTGAAACAAGAAACAGAGAGACCTGGACACAAAAAGAGAGTCCCAGACCACCAAAACCCACCTCTACTTCAAAACAGAAACCAAACCAAACCAAACCAAACAAACCAAAAACACTTCAGTATATAAGAAAGGAAAGTATAATGACATGCCCCAAATCCCCACTCAACCACATGGCTTCTCGGCCCTAACTTCATTAGAGTCATTATTTACAAACACCAAATTACAGCCTCATCAGCTTGCTGGAGGTTCTTTCAAAGCACTTTTATTCCCAGGAAACTGCATTAAGTTCATCCATACAACATTCCCATCAAAACCTAGTGGTGGGCCGGAAGCAGTGGGTCACGCCTGTAATCCCAGGAATTTGAGAGGCCAAGGCAGGCGGATCACCTGAGGTCCGGAGTTTTGAGACCAGCCTGGCCAACATGGTGAAACACTGTCTCTACTAAAAATATAAAAATTAGCTGAGTGTGGTGGTGGGCACCTGTAATCCCAGCTACTTGGGAGTTTGAGGCAGATGAATTGCTTGAACCCGGGAAGCAGAGGTTGCAGTGAGCTGAGATTGTGCCACTGCATCCCAGCCTGAGCGACAGAGAAACTTGGTCTCAAAAAAACAAAAACAAAAAACAAAACCCAGTGGTGATACTGAATTCAGCCTGAATAACCCAGGCCCGTTCACCTCTAGTGGATTTAGCAAATCAGTGGCCACGGAAATATAATTTCAAAAGTCACAAATGCTGAAAGTCATGAACTGAAAATAGCTCTGTTTTCCCCGATCCTGAGAGTTCTGCATAACATTGCTTCTTTATCTCATTATCTCATCATTATGAAAAACTACCATTTACTGATCAATTACAACTTAGAAGGTATTGTGCTAAGTACGTTATACATGAACTTCATTTAACCCTCATGGGAAAGCTATGAAATGTGTGTGAATACTTTGGCAGAGTTGGTGACTCTTCGTAAAAAGAGGAAATGTTTGGTCAAACTAATCTACAAACACCACTTGTATTACTAAATAAGCACCTGCTAAACAAATCTAGGAGGAAACGTATCATGTTTCTAATCAACAAGGCTTGATTCTTTGTTATGTAATAATTGACCTTTTAGATCATTTCTACACCTAAAGCAGCCATTCAAAGATGAGAAGGCCATCTATCTAGGAGCAGAAATAAGCCAAATTCCTCATCTTCATAATGGGAGGTTGCAATAATGCCTTTCCTCTGTTAAAAATACATGGGTTTTTCTCCAATCACAGCACGAAACACTGGAACCTCAGGCACACAACAGAATGTTCAACCTTGACCTGACTGCCATCCAGAAACTGCCAAAAATACAGCTGAAGCAGCTGATATTTGAGAAAGATACACCACATCTACAATCTTCTGAGTTATTTATGCTCTTTCTTTACAAAGTGAAATCACCACAAAGCAATTTACCTGGACCACAGTAGCTTAGCTACCCACAAAAAATGCTTTCATAAGTTGAGATCCGTTATTATACTCTCAGCTCCTATTGAGAATCTATTAAAAAAAAAATCACCTTTTAAAGAACATTAGCACAATTTCCACAAAACAGCAATTGAAGGCATTTTCCATTATGATCCTCAACATTTCTTATATAAACAATCCTCTAAAAAGGATTGTACTGCCCCCGAACACTTATGCCTATGGATGCAATTCTATGCTTACTTTATCTGACAACAATCGCATGCCCCACCCAGTTTCCCTTTGTGCCCTGGTTTCCAGGAAGCTCAGAACTAAATTTAGTGCTCAACTGTAGCCACTCTCACACAATTCAACATACACATATCTCTTTCTACCTTCAAAAGGGAGCTTTTTTTCCCGTTTGTTGCTTTGTTTGCTTTTCCCTCCGATGATCAAATAGTATAATGGTCATTATAAAAAAATATGGAATATATAGAAAAATATAAAGCAGCAAAGACGTAAAGCAGCAAGAAAAACAATTTCCAATGGTTTCTGATCTCTTTTAAAAATCTGGATCCACTGTCTAGGCCTATACTTGCTTTAACACTGTAAGGCATAAGATTTGGTTTTGGAAGCAGGTAACTCCTGGCTATCCCGGCCTTGGAAGGGGTTGTGTCACATGCCTGTTTTTGTGTAGCTGTGTGAAGAGTGAAATGAGGCACAAAATACAAACGCTGAATACACATGGAATCACAGATGCTGAAACTAGAAAGAATCTTTCAGATCATCTGCTCAAATTCCTTCATGCTCCAAATAAGGAGCCTGCTCCTCCCTGTACCAGGCTCCTGGCTGTCCTTGTGCTTACCTAGTGAGGCGCATCACTCAATGGACTGGTGTAAGTGCCAGGCTTTTCACAGGATCACATTTCCTAGTGGGTGGAGTGGCCAAATGTTCACAAGCCCCGCTGCACTCCCCCTTTGCTTTTGTTTTTCCAGAGCTGGCTGGCCAGGCTGAGTCACTCCAGGTCTGCCTGGCAGGTCCCGCTGGCTCTGTCTCAGCACTCTTACCTGAGTGCCTAGAGCTCCTGCATAGCGTAGTCAAAAAGGGATAGTAACGTCTCAACATTTAGATTCACGGGAAGGCTCTGGTTGGTGGGTTAGCAGGTGCCAGCCCAGCTTTAAAAATAAAGCAGAACTTTGTTCCCCATATAATTTCAGGTCCTTGTACATGTACCCTCTGCATCCCCACAGGGAGGAGAGGAGGTTTGCAGTATGGATTCAGTCCTACTTGGATGTCTGGTGATAACCCCATTTAATAGCACCCAGAGCCCTCTCTAATACCTAAAAGGGTGGCGGGACTCTACCTCAAACTGAACACAGAGTTCACTAAAAAAAAAGAGAAATGCTCAGTAAAAGACTCAAGAGATATGAAAGATATGATGGAACTCACCAGCGGTTAAAAGTATAAGCTTCTAAAAGGACGAATGCTAAAAGAATTTCAGGGACAATTATATTTTTAGTGTTGAAAAATACAGGTGAAAAAAAATATATAGGCGAAATATAGAGTCATAGTCAAGTCCAGTAAAGTTGGAAACATAGGCTTATTTTTCAAATATACCACCAAAGTAGGTTGATTTTAAATTATAAATATTAAATGATCCTGACCAAATCAAACCATAGCTTCCTAGAAAATGCTTCCTTTCTACCGTTTAGTAAAGTTGTAAGTCACTGAACCGCAGAACTTTGAGGCTGGAAGAATTGCAGCTTTTATCCAATCCAACCAATGTTTATGAATAATCTTAAAAAGCAATCTTCTCAAAACATGAATCATAAATTATATCCAAATCCACTCAGCAGGAAATTGTATGCAGAGTATGTGGAAGGGGAATTGGCTGCTTTAAACAGGCACTCCAGAGGACCTCCGGGTTTAGTTTTTGCTTTGATGACATAAACTCAAACTCCTAGTCTTGCTAAGTACTTCTAAAAACCTCTGACCTATAAAAATTTTGCAATGGCAATTTCTGAAGCAAGCTAACCTCTGTTTTCCAAGAACACTTCCAGCCCTCTCTGTCCTGTGCCCTCTGGTACAAGGATGACGACACAAGCACCCCACACAAACACTAAATAAAACCTCAGAAAAGAAAAAAGGTGGTCAGAGTTTCCAGCATTCCCTTTGGTCCACCACAGGATGTGCCCTGTGAGGGTATTTCAGTACATGCTAATCCCTATGTCTTATCAGCTGCACCTTGTTCTGGGGTGAGGGGGAATGTGAAAGAAGTAACAGACACAGCCCGTGTCCTCGAGAAGATCACAGTTTCTCTGTGCAGAGAAGCATTAGATGATCTGCTATGAAGAGGTGTACAGTACAGAGGACCAGGTGGTTGAAGAAAGGCTCTGGAATCCCTGAGCTGAGACTTAGCTGATGAGTAGTAACTGTAACAGCAGAAAGGTGAGCACTCCACAGCTGTAGTTACTAATATCATGCCTTGCAAACTCTCACGTTGTGTTTGTTAATTTTTTTCAAAATGGTGCCTAGAAAAAAATGTATACTCATGTTTTCTTTACCATTGAAGGAGACATTTCTGCAATAATGAAGAAATAAAACTCTAATTCCCAACCAAATGGTACAATGCTCACCATTTCATGCACCCCAAGTCTTGTTTGAGAATAGATACCAATAGTCAGGTGCAGTGGCTCATGCCTTTAATCCCAACACTTTGGGAGGCCGAGGCAGGCAGATACCTGAGGTCAGGAGTTTCAGACCAGCCTGGACAAACATGCTGAAATCTCATCTCTACTAAAAATACAAATATTAGCTGGGCATGGTGATGGCCATCAGTAATCCCAGCTACTTAGGAGGATAATGCAGGAGAATCACTTGAACCTGGGAGGCAGAGGTTGCAGTGAGCTGAGATCGCATTACTGCACTCAATCCTGGGTGACAAAAAAAAAAAAAAAAAAAACACCCAAAAACCTATGTTAAATGTGAGCTTCAATACTGACATAAACTGAGTAGGTTGTACCTACTTCCGCCCCAAGTACCTGGCATTAGAGAAATGGCATTTTGGCTTGATGTCTTTTCCCTTTACCATCTATTCTGGGTATGTAACTAGCTGGCTATGCACATTGATTTATGTCTACTTTGAGTGACTTCCGAGTGTTAAGCTGGGGATCTGGCACTCACATGAGGAATGGTCTGAGAGAGGAGAGGAAGCCAGTGTCCTGGAGAAATGCAGCCAGGAGAGATCTGGTCCTGAAGAATTTCTCTTCTGAGGAGGCGTGGTCAGTTCTCCCATCTCCAAAGCAGGAAGAGAGGATGGGCTCGAAGCTGAAGTCGTGGCCTCTCGGCTGTGCACAGTCACTTCTTCTGACAGCCCCATCGCCCTCTCTGTTCCCATCTCTGAGGTTGTTCCACTCTTTGCTTGCAAAGGGGCAATTCTTTCATCGAACTCCGAACTGCTCGATGGCAGGTGAAGACTTTCCGAGGCTGAAAACAGACAGCAACATTAGAATTCCACCAGCACACTTCAAATGTCTTAATATGCTTTGAGGGGGCTCAGTCCTCACATCTATAAAATATATAGACATGAGAAAAAATTAGGAGAATAATGCATTCCACGAAAAATAAACTCTGAAAAAGATCACAAACCAAGGCAGAGATTGTTTGTAGATCTCACTAAAGTTCTGTGTATCAGTAAAATTCTCAGAAAAGGGGCAAACTGGAGGTAAGTATCAGACAATATGGAATTAGAGATCAGGGTCTGATCAGGACCCAGCAACCACGTCCACCAAATGGGTCCCAGCATTTACCTGAATGTAACATAAACAGAATTCCCAACATCTGGGAGAACAAGAAGACCACGGAATACCATGAGCAGAGTTTCTAAGCGCTGTAGGAATCATTTATGAATACAAAATACTTTCATACTCTTCTGTACAGAATCGAGTCCCCCCAACCAGCCACTAGGACCTGAAACCATACAGTCATCTCTGACGGCTTCATCCTTTACTTTCAGGCCATCAACAAGTCCTACCAATCCCTTCCTCTTCATCCCTGTGGCCACCAGGCCACATTGCAGCACCTGGTGTCTGGATTTCTCTGTCTGCCTGGGTGGTCCCTTCCAGGTTCCCTTCATCCTCCCACTCCCATGCCAGACATCCTGTACCTGCCTGCCAGGTGATACTCCCCAAATTCACTTTAGTTATATCACTCACGTGCTCAAAAACCTTCACTGACTCTTCCTACCACACCAAATCTAAACTGCCAGGTTTCCAAAGTCCTATGTGATTGTCCCCAACCCTGTCCACACAATGGTCCTACCTGCTCCTCCTCACCTCTGTGGGCAACTGACGCCCTCCCCAAGGGAGGCTGCTGGCCTTGCCACCCTACAGGGAGGCCACGCCTGTCTTTCTCTCCTCTGTACTTCACTCCTGTTGTCCAGGCATTCCACACTTCAGCACCCCTGCCACCTCGCTCAGATACACAGGCATAAATTCCAATCCCAGTTCTGAAACCTGTTAACTGTTTGACCTACACTTATTGGGTCAACTCACGTCTCTGAGCTTCCGTTTCCAAATGCCTGAAAGGAGAATAACATGACCTCATGGGCTTGCTGGAAAGACTGAGGAAACAGACATGCTGCAAAGACTGACGAAACAGACAGTGGTATGTAGGAGGTCCCTCATTAATGCTACTCTTCTTAGTCTTCTCTTCCTCAATCAAATCTTACCCACTGAGCCCCAGCACCTTCTTGACATTCTTTGCTAAAAATAGCAAACCACCATGTTGTGCACACCAGAGCAAGAACAACCATTTGGGTCACGTCAACACAAACCGAACCCAAGCCTGCCCCAGCTATGCATCCGACAAAACCTACTGCCTCTGAGAGCCTCAGGTGTGGGAGGCTCCCTGGAGAAGGAATGAAGTTTGGATTCCGCTGGCCATGGATCACAGATGCCTCAGGACCAGAGAGGCCGCTCAGTGAATCTGCACCCTTGTCTGGTCTGTAGGGACAAGCATCATACAAATGAGGCCTAAGACACAGGTCTGACCCACCACAGCCTAGGAACCTTGGAAGGGCACAATGGCTCAGAATGCGGGTTGTGGGAAATGGCAGAAACTCTGTTCTCCAGGACAGGACACACATGCGTGAAATGCACATCATCAGCACAAGCTCACCTAAGGCACCACTCTGGGAAGTCAGAGCTGTTGCTATCTCCAGCGAGTACCCAACAGGCGAAATAGTGAAGTCTGTTCTACTTGAAGAGCCGTTCCTTCCTCTAGCATCTGCTGTTTCAGTGAACAGAGTGAGGTGTTCTGGAGCATCCGAAGCAGCGTGGCTCTTCCCGGAGGTCTGACTCATCACATCCTCTTTGGAGGCCACTGTTGAAATGTCCTCTTGATTCTGATACAAGGTGATGTTTTCTACATGAGGCTCAGTGTTACTTTCTGCCCAATGGTTCCACGCAGCATCTGAAAGAAGAAGAGGATGCATCAGGGAGAACTTGCTGCCTTCTGAAAAGAAAAGCAAACCTTCAGAAAAGACACCAGGAGATACATCAATAGAGAGTGGATTCAAGTAAAAGAATTTCACCTTTCTTTTTTTCCCATATTCACTATGCTTACAATCCAGAGCAAGGAATTATGAAGCAACAATACGATATTGTATTACATTTCATTGTGCGTAGAATAAATGAGGAAAACATATTGATAGAAAGAGATCATGGGGCTCACAGAAGAACAACTGAGCCTCTGGCACCTGGGTAGGGTCAGAGAGGGGAGTGGAGGAGGAAGATCAAGTGTAAGCAGAAGGAAAGAAGCATCTCCCATTCGCCAAAGTTGCTAACTGTGCCTCTTGGGTTGGTAGTATGGTATTATAAAAGCTGGCAGCCCTTGACCTTGACACCTACTCTTGCAGGTGAGAGGTGTGATGCACAATTCTGATAAAACAAGAAGGCTCCGGCAATATTACTGAAACTTGGGTAATGTAAATAGGTTTGAGGCAGTAAATCCATCTTTGAATTTATCTGAAGAAGATACTCAAGAATGTGGAAAAAGATTTAGCCACACACACTGTTCATTACAGCACTGTTTACAATAGCAAAAGGAAGAAATAGAAACAGGAAAAGAAAGAACAAATTTAAAATTCCTCTAGTAGGTTGTCAATTAAATGAGTTACAGCAGACAGTATGTGCAAGAACGAACACCATGTAGTCACTGAATTAGTGCTATAAAATAAAGATACTCTTCAGGGATTGTTGAATTAAAACAGCATGCTTCAAATCGAGTTTATGTTTAATGATCTCATTTTGTGAAAAATAATAATAACAACAAATATTTGTGTGCTAAACACTGAGGCAGGTAGCAGACATAGGTGCCTGATTTGTATTCATTCAAGCAGAAGTGAAGATACGTCCTTATTCTCCCCATTTTACACAGGAAGCAAGGGAGGCACAGAGGGTGGGGCAGGTCTTGCATCTTACCCAAGTCTCATAGTCAAAAAGCAGGAGGGCCAAGCAGCCTGCTCCAAACCCAGGCCCCTCATCAGCCAGCTGTGCTCAGCTGCAAGGGGAAAATGGTGGAGAGGAGTACGATTTCCAGCTCAGGAATGCTGAGGAAATAATGCTCTTGAGTATGGACTGTTACTTGAAGTTTATATATTAGGAATGTATTTATTTATATTAGGAATGCATTTTAGCCAGAAAATATATTTAAATGATAATTAACTTCCATAACATCCAAGGTGGTGGCAAAGCGGGTATCAGTTAAAAATGTTCTCAGGATGAAGTTAAGATTGGGGGTTAAATTGGGCAAGAGAAAGTCATGTGTAGTATCAAATGCCATTTGTCAAGGCAGGAGGTTCAAGCTCAGAGCAGCTGGTGGGATCCCCAAGTCCAGTCCAAGAAAGCTGCCCTGCAAATCTGGAGAATTCTGCACCCAGCCTGGCCACTACTCAGAAGCCAAAGCTGGGCCACTGCTTGGTGCTGGGTCTCTAAAAAATAGCACCAAAACCAAACAGCAATCTGAGACCACTGACCTTTCCCAATGCATCCAAACTAATATAGAATCCAATATCAAATATGGGTGCTAGTCACTGAGTGTAGTGAGTTTCTAGAGAGCAAGGGTGAGGACAGGGTCACTTGAAGTTGTCACTGATTATGTGACTCCTTGAAAAAACCACTTGATTTTCCCCACTTGGATATGGTATTTCTCTTTCTGCTTGGGAATGGCGACTGTGGGCACTGCTGAGAAACCTCTGTAGGGATAAATGCAATCATTTCTATTTATACGGATCAGGCAAAAATGGCAAACCATCAGACAAGTAGAGGCTGCAGGCAGAACCTACAGTTTGTATCTAAATACCACACATACACATATACACACACACATATACACATAGACACACAAACACACACATACACCCACACACACGTGTGCACACACATACACACATGTACACACATGCACATACACATACACACAGGCACATATACACATAAACACATACACTCATACACACACACACATAGGCACACACATACATACACACACACAGAACAAGTTATCTTTTAGATCAGTGCTGCCTAAGAGACAGTGAGTCACAAACACAATCCACATGCATATACTTTAAATTTTCTAGTAGCTGTATTTTTAAAATTAAAAAAAGTGAAATTAATTTTAATAAATATTTCACTCGACATATCCAAAATATTATCACTTCAACGTGTAATTGATATAAAAATAATGAGATATTTTATGTTCTTTTTTGGTATTAAACATTTAAAATCCAGTGAATGTTTTAGGAACCACATCTCAAGAGCTCCATAGCCACACGTGGCTGGTGGCCGCGTCACTTGCCAGTGCAGTTCTAGATGAATGGTTCTGAACATTTCTCCACTATGATCCACTCCGATCCACTCCTTCTAGAAGCAGTGGCTCACTTATTTGGGATGAAGAGGTGATGATAATAAAAAAAAAAACTTCCATAAAACATTCTGATAAAATTTCCTGAGGGAATCACTTCCTCCCCAAATCCCTTACGAGTTACTGTTTTTATGCCTCCTGATCTGTTTCCTGTGGGTGACAATTAACAGAGGCTTCCTGGAAGGGGAGAGAAGTGGCCATGCATCTGGGCTCCTCTGGGGCCCAGTTCCAGACAGGCAAGACACACATGCAGCTAGAAATGGGACATGGAAGGGCACTTCCAGGGGCAGCCACAAGGCCCGTAAGTTCCACGTGAGATCCTGGGGTTACAGACGGCAGCAGCCCACAGAGCATGCTCCCTTTGTTCTGCTTCTCAGAGCTGCAAAGGCAAGCTGGTCTCCTGGGAAGAAGTAAAAGGCCTGAGGATGCTTTCTCTCTCCTCTTGGTTAACTGTACACAATGAGAAATTATTCTCCAAGGAAGCCAGAGAGAAGTGATTGTGGGGAAGGAAGCAGAAGGGACTCAAAACCCATGCTCCAAAGCTGGCCAGCTGTGAACCAAGAGAAGACAATGAACTTGGCTCCATTACAACCTTCAGACAAGGTGAGATTCGGCCATCGGTGAGTACTGCATAGGGGTCTTTGAGGAGGCAGCTTTGTCTCCTTCTTCTCCAGGGAGCAGGAGTGGAAGTCCCAGAGCCCAGTCAGCTTAGAGAACTCGAGTGCAGTCTCCGAGGGGAAAAGAATGGCCACATGCAGACAGGGCAGGACCCACACTGACCCACGCTCTCTTCCTGGAGGGGTGACTAAAGATGTAAGAAAGCAAAAATGCACACTCTAAACAAAACTGAAAGACAGACAATAGTCCTGCAGTATCCTCAATAACCCTGCCACTGTAAACAACTCCAAATGCTGAATACAATATTTTTTAAAAAATGTTTCTAAAAGCATTGCTGAGCTGGCAAGCGAGTAAAGAATCAAATCTTCTGAGGCCAGAAATGAACCATGAGTAGGAATCCAGAGAAGTGAGCTAATCATGAAGCTGGCAGCTGCCCTGGAGGCACCTGTTCAATGTTTGTGACCTTGAATTTCTGTTCTGATGGCCACCGAGAATCAAGAGACGGGAGACAGGATTCTCAAGGAGGGAATCCAACAGGAGACCACTGGATAAAGCTGGGACTTCACACAGCTATGCCTTGGGTATAAGGCAAATAGAAACAAATCTGCCCCACAGAAGGGCACAGCAAGGAAACCTGACCCTTCAATCTTGGTTTCAAGTAAAAGAAAAAATAAATCTCACCCAAGAATATATAACCATAAAGGTAGCTCTCGTATGGGTGTGCCACGTGTCACATTACCTCTGTGGTCTAAATTGAGGATGTATTTATGAGTAGTCCTGAATCCTGTGAATATACTAAGAACCATTCAATTGCATGCTTTCAAAGGGTAAACTTTATGGCAGGTAAATCAGGGACCTCCAAACCCCAGGCCATGAACTGGTAACTGTCTGGTCCGTGGGCTATTAGGAACCAGGCTCCATAGGAGGCGATGAGCAGGGGCAAGTGAGCATTACCACCTGAGCTCTGCCTCCTGCCAGATCAGCGGTGGCATTAGATTCTCAGGAGCATGAGCCTTATTGTGAACTGCACATGTGTGAAGGATCTAGGTTGCGTGCCCTGTATGAGAATCTAATGCCTGATATGATCTGAGGTGGAAGAGTTTCATCCCAACCCCAGCACACCCCACCCTGCCCATCTGTGGAAAAACGTATTCCACGAACACATTTTCGTCCCCAGTGCCAAAAAGGTGGTGGACCACTGATGTAAATTATATCTCCAATACACATACACATCCTGTTAATAATGGGGCGGGGGTGGTCCTGATGGATAGTGCCTCCAGGTACCTGTATTGTGTAGACACAAATACAGATGCTCTCTAAATAAACATACCTTCAAACCAGTTTTCATCATTTATTGATAACATTCTAAGGAATAAGAAACCATAGTCAAAAATCACAAAATACACAAGAAAATGAGGCATCCATGAGGAAACAAGACATCCATACTTTTTTGTCTGGTAACTCTAGTAACTGAAGTCTTTGCTTGTCTAATTGTTGGCAATTGTTTGACAAGCAAAGACTTTAAGTACCAGAATTACCAGACAAAGAAGTATATAAAGCTACATTAGAAAAAATAAAAAAAAGAGAGAGACTATAAATAATGACTCAAAATATTTGAAATAAAGCTAGATGGAAATTCTAGAAATAAAAAATATTATAATTGAAATTTAAAAACTCAACAGCAGATTAGATACGGCCAAAGTGAGAATTAAAAAACAACTCTAATTCACTGGGCATGGTAGCTCACTCATGTAATTCTAGCACGTCGGGAGACCAAAGCAGAGGGATCACTTGGGCTCGTGAGTTCAAGACCAGCCTGGGTAACATAGTGAGACCTTGCCTCTACAAAAAATAATAAACGAAATTTGCTGAGTGTGGTGGTGCACGCCTGTGGGCCCAGACACTCGGAGAGCTGAGGTAAGAGGATCACT